TGACCACAGACTCACTGGACCCTTTCCTGACGAGCCGTTCGAGCCTAGTGGTCCCTACGCAGAGCTTGTGGGTTGCCTCATGTACCTGATGACTTGTACTCGCCCGGACCTCGCCTTCCCTCTCAGCGTTCTTGCGCGCTTTGTTGCGCCAGGGAGACACCGTCCTGTTCACTGGACAGCAGCTGTGAGGGTGGCGAAGTACCTAGCGACGACGTCAGGCGTGGGGCTAGTTCTTGGAGGGCAGCAGTCTGTCGTACTTACTGGTCACTGTGACTCCTCTTACGCTGACGACGCTGAGACTCACAGGTCTACTCAGGGGTACTGTTTCAGCCTGGGTTCTGGAGCTGTTTCCTGGCGGTCCACGCGCTCCTCTTCGGTCTCGACCTCTACAGCTGAGGCTGAGATCTACGCTGGTGCCATGGCGGCACAGGAGCTGCGTTGGTTGACCTTCTTGCTCACCGACCTTGGTGAGCGGCCGAGCTCTGCACCGACCTTGTTCACTGACAACAAGGCGTCTATTCTCCTTTGTCGAGAGCCACGACTGGAGAGCAGAGTGAAGCACATTCACGTCAGGTACTTTCTTCTGCGAGAGTTGCAGAGGCGTGGACAGGCTCGCTTTGAGTTTGTGGAGTCCGAGGCCAACACTGCAGACATCTTCACCAAGGCGCTTCCGCCTTGTGACCACCAGAGGTGCTGTGTGCAGTTAGGCCTTGTTGACACTGGTTCTCGTGTTGCTTAGACTTGAGTGTACTGTTTACTTTGCTTTCTATATATCTCTGTTACTTCTTGGACTGGCCTTGTGGCCACTGTTGTTTGTGCTCAGACTGTGTGGTGACGTTGTGATCCACCTTGAGCTTTGTTTCTTGGACTGGTCTTGTGACCGTACTCGTTTGGTTCTGCTAGACACCCCTCACTTAGGCTATGGGGGTGTGTCAAATGTTGTAGCCTATAGTGAGGTTTGTCTTAGGGGGTACAAAACTTAGGGTTAGCTATATGTACCCCAACCAACATCAATGCATCATCCATTCTTCATTTTGACAAGAAGGTAGAGGAGCAGTGAAGTTGGTGGCGGCGGTGGTTTTTTCCACACCAGGCAACCGCCATTTCCAGCAGCACTGAATCAAGCAAGGCATAGGGCACCTAGACAGGCCGTGGATTGTAGGTTCCACCAGATATTCCTTTCGGTAAGTCTCTGATTATTCTGGCGCGCTATGCAAGAGCCAGGAGCCTTCTCGCTGCAGCACAAGCAGGCAAAGGAGCGCCGCACAGTCCCGTGTTCCCAGGAGTGAAGGAAGCCACTGGGAAAGCAGCCCACTGGGAGGGAAGCGGGCCAAACAGGTCGTTGCCTTGCACATGCACCTCGAGCAGCCCGTCTAGCTGGCCCAGCGCGGCAGGGATGGCGCCGTGCAGCTGGTTGAAGGCGAGGTCCAGCACCTCCATGCTCCGCATGCCCGCCAGCGATGCAGGGATGCTGCCCGACAGGTTGTTGTGCGCCAGTGAGAAGTTGCGCACCTCGGCGAGGTGGCCGAGCGCAGAGGGGATGGCGCCGGAGAAGGAGTTGTTGGAGAGGTCCAGCTGGTACAGCGTGTCCTTGCACCCGCCGAGCGCCGCGGGGATGGCGCCGTGTAGCTGGTTGCCGCCCAGGTACAGCGCCATCAGCCCCTGCTTCGCACAGCTGAAGGCCGATGGCAGCTTGCCTGGCGTGTGGGGCGCGTGGGGGGGGTGCGGACGGTGGAAGGGAACGCGGGGAGAAAGGAGGACGGGAAAGGGAGAGTGAGGGAGGAGAGGGGCCAGGGTGACTATCGAGTCAACTGAAAGGTCAATTAGGGAGAGAAGGTGGGGCGGAAAAGAGAAGGGAGGGGAAGAGGGCGCAAGCGAGAAATGTACAAGTGACATGGGGGAGGAAAGGGAAGAGAAGGGGCAAGGGAAGAGAAGGGGCAAGGGAAGAGAAGGGGCAAGGGAAGAGAAGGGGCAAGGGAATGGGTTAGTGAAACGCGGGAGAAGAGAGCATCTCTAACCTGTCAGTCGGTTTCCATCAAAGAGTATCATTCCAAGGTTAGGCGCGTTTGCGAGGGCGGACGGCAGAGAGCCCGTGAGCTGGTTGTTGGAGGCGCCGATCTGCTGCAGCTTGGGCAGCGACCCGAACGCGGGCGAGATGCCCCCCGTGAACTCGTTATCGGATAGCTCGATATAGATGGCTTCTGTCAGAGTAGCGAAGCGAGAAATGCCGCCTGTGAACGCATTTATGCCCAAATCGAGGACTTGAAGGGTGTCTGATAGGCCAGTGAAGAAAGTCGAAGGGATGTGGCCCGATAAACCACAGTCTGCCATTATAAGTGCTTGTATCGAGTCAAGATTACCAAAGCTGCTGGGAATCCCACCAGTGAACTGGTTCACGGTTATATCGAGGTACTCTAAACGGGGGAGGCGGCCGAGAGCGGAAGGAAGAGCGCCGGAGAACTTGTTGGCGCGCAGGTCGAGCGACACGAGCGACGACATGGCGGATACCGTGCTTGGAATCTTCCCGGACATGCTGTTCACTCCCACGGAAAGGGATGTCAGGGCAGTCGCGAAACGGAAAACATTTCCAGGCAGACCACCAGTTAGTTGGTTGTTGCTGACGTCAATCAACTCGAGGTCGGGCAGTTTGAAAATCTGTGAAGGCAGGCTACCGGTCAGGAGGTTTGAGCTGAGCGAGAGGGAGTGCAGGCCGACGAGTGCTGACATAATCTCTTTCAACTGCCCAGTTAGCCTGTTCTGAGCCAAGTTCAACACGCTAAGTTTCGTCAGGAGGCTAAGTTCGTCGGGAATGTCGCCCGAAAACTGGTTACCATCCAGCTCCAGCCGCTCCAATTGATCCAGATTCCCGAGGTCCGATGTGAGCTGTCCCTCTATAAACGTCTGCGACAGCGTAATTGAAGTGACGCGGTCCGGCTCCTTCCCACCGCAAGACACGCCGTCAAACGCGCAAGCGGTGGGGCCATCAATCCACGTGTCAAGCGCACCGAGCGAGTCGTTGGTGATGGCGGCCTTGAAGGCGAGAAGCGCGGCGACATCTTCGGCGGGAGTGCCGGCAGCGGCCGCGGGGAGAAAAGCGGCGAGAGCGCAGAGAATCACGGCGCAAAGGCGCGGGAGTGCGGCGAGGGGAGCGTGAGGGCGCGGCATGGCGGCGCAGTAGGAGGCGGAAAGGGCAGATGGTCGTGCTCCGCACGCAGACCCAGCACGGCCGTAGCGGAGGGCGCGCAGATAAAACAGCGCGAGGGCGCAATGCCGCAATGATGCCGTGAGGACGCTAAGAGGGATGAACACGAAGGCCGCTGGGCTTAAGTGGGAGAGTAGGTAGAAAGAGCACTCAGGAGTGGAAGCGACGAAAAGAACGGGGACTCAGGAAGAAGGAGGAGTGGAGATAGATGAGGCGGGGATGAAGGAGATGGGCGTTGGAGAAAGCCAACTACGCGGATGCAAGAGGCAGAACAATTCCCGCAGGTGAACGGTCCCGGTGACTCGCAAGGCGCTGCCTTGTGCTATACTGAATAGAAGCTCCGACCGGCCTAGATGGGACTTGGAAAATGGCGCAAAAGATCCCCAAAATTTCTTTGAGACGGAGTTCTGGCAATAAGGATGGCTGATGAATGCAGCAGCGACAGACACCTGGCAGGAGATTAGGCAACAACTGCGATGCGGCGCGGCGCATTGCTTGGCTTGCAACACAAATGTCATGCGTGTCGAGGGTGAAGTTGAGAAAGGGCAAAAAAGGTGCTGGCGAGAGTGAGGCCGTGGGTGGGGGGAGGGGGCTGTGGGTAGATGCAGAGAAACGTTCCTCTGTATCTACGGTCAAGATCGACGACTTGGAAACATTGAGCGATCACGACCGTATAAGCTCTGCCACAAGGCTGCTGCTGCCCAAAGCCGGTGGATCATACACTTGTACAGTAGTACATTTGCGCCGATTGACCCACAAAGTTGCTGGCTAGAAGCACGAGGAGGAAGGTGCAAGCAATGGGAACGAAACGTTCGTTGGCACCCATACCATACCCATAATTGCGTGTCGCAAAATGGAATGGAATGTATGTGAATGACGGGCAGAACGAAATGGTTGTCTTTGGCATTGGTGACAGACCTGCCCCAGGAGTTTTTCTTTCTTGCCCCTGGAGAAAAATGGGGAAGACGAGGTGTCGCGTAGAGCGCAATCTCCGCTTCAGGAAAACAACATGGCGGGAAAGCTAGAATTCTGTCGACTTGCGTGAGACACGGCGTCTCCTCCTGACCTGACTCCTGGGGAAACCATCAAAATTTGCATGTTTCGAAGCTGTTTATTAACTACCGAACACGGAAACGTCATAGCGCGCTGTGTAACAGCAAAGTGATGGAATACTATGACATTAGCAATTAGCGGATGCGCTCTTTGACGACACATAGGAAGCAGCAAATATCCTCATCATTTGTATGAGTGTGGTGTAACCTGCAAGATGTCACTCTTCTATTCGCTAGCTCGCTACAAACGCGTCCAGTAAGGATCAATCAGAGTCATCATCACCAACACCTTTGCTTGGCTCCACGGCAACCATCCGCCTCTGCTGGGCAGCACGCCACCAATGCCACATCCAACTGACATGGTCGAGAAATATGTTATGGCATAGCGGTTCGTTGACATTTTTAAACGATTGGTTAGCTTTATAAACGGTCGTGTCACCCCCAAGCAAAAGTGCGCATTCCTCCCCCACGCCACAAGCTCACCCCAACCCAACCAAAGCCCGCCTTCAACCTTACACATCACAATGCATCCACTATTGCAAGGCCAGCTAGGCTTTGGTTGTGGCCGCTAGCTTTCACCTCACGGCGCGCCTCCTCCTGTCTGCCACTCGGGCGTAGGCAAGCGCTGCGCTTTTAGGTTGGCGGGTGCGCTGGTATAGGCGGGCCGCTCCTCAAATCTGCAATATTGTTCTCTTTATACGTAGTCTAGCCTGCTAACACCGCCCCCACTTCGTCAGCGTTTAGCTATGGCACACGCGGGTAGTGCCACGTCAGCCTCTGACGGCAGCAACTGGGCTGCGCTCCTGCTGGCCGCAGGAACCGGCGCCGTGGTGGCGGCAGCCGCGTCGTACTACTTCCATTCGCAAGCGCTCGCGAAGTTTGCCGAACAGGATGGCAAGGTGCGTTTCGTGAACCTTGCAGCCTTAAAACGAAGGACGCGCGCTTCCTCGTAGCTCCAGGACTTGCGAATGAATCAGTTTTTCTAGGCGCTGTATCAATTCCAGGTCCAGTGTTGTTGATGGAGCAGATCAGACGAATCGTTTTGAAAGTTGTAATGCCTCGTTGCTCATCCCAACCAAGCTCCATCCTTTGTTGCCATGCCTGCTCCCTTTCCCCAACGCGGCGTTGCTCCCTACTCCCGCCTTGTTCCCCTCCTCCACCGCTTCCGCCCTTCCGTGTGTGACCCCACCCGCTGCTGCGCGCCAAGCCGTTGGCCTAACCCCGCTGTCTTGCGCCCCCCGCCCGTTTCCTTCCGCCATCCCGCCGGCCCCCGCAGCTGAAGCCGCAGAAGATGCGCAAGGTGACGACCGCCCCTGCGCGCCGAGCTGCGCCCACCCCGGGCGTGCCACTGCGCCCGCAGCAGCGGAGCCACCGAAACTCCCAGTCGAACGCCGCCAATCCATACGCCTTCGACCCGCTTGCTGGCTGTTTCAGTCCGGGCAGTCTGCCCGGGAAACTTGCGTCCTCCCTGGACCGGCAGGACATGCAGGCTCTCAGCGCCGCGCGCCTGGCGGCGGCAAACGCGTCGGCGGCAGTGGCGTCGGGGCTGCGAGAAGGTGCGTGCGCTCCCGCCGCTGCTGCACGCTCATCCCGCCGCCGTGTGGCTGTGCGCGAGGCCCATTCATCCGCGAGAGGGCGAAGTGCTTTCAAGAACGCGGGAGGGGCTCGCGCGAATGGTTCCTTCCTGGCCCTCTCTCCGCATCCCCTGCAAGTGGCCCGCGTGCACAGTTAGCGCGCACTTCCTTGGTGGCGGGTGGATTAAAACGAATGGCGCTCTTTTCCCAAAACCGCTCTCCCTCCCTCCCTCCCTCCCTTCCTCCCTCCCTCCCTTCCTCCCTCCCTCCCTCCCTCCCTCCCTCCCTCCCTCCCTCCCTCCCTCCCTCCCTCCCTCCCTCCCTCCCTCCCTCCCTTCCTCCCCCCCTCCACGTTACCCCCTTTTCCCCCCAGGCAATCTCCAAGGTGATCTCCTTCCGCCGCGCTCTGTGAGCGCGCACTCGTCGGTGGTGGGGGGGATGGGCGCGGAGGAGGCGGAGGAGGAGGCGGAGGAGGAGGACATGGGGGAGGAGGGGGAGGAGGTGATGGTGGAGGAGCTGGTGGAGGGGGGGGAGGGGGAGGGCGGGGAGGGCGCGGAGAAGGAGGCGGAGGGGCGGGGGGAGGCGCGGGTGAAGAGGGCGGTGAGCGTGCAGGACAGCATTCACCACCCGGTGTCTGACCCTGGCACGGCGGACCGGCTGAGGAAGGCGCCAGAGGTGGAGGAGTATGTGCGCCTCAACCTCTACCCACAAGGTGCGTGCGCTGCCTTCCCCCCTCTCCAACCCTTTTCTGCTCTCCAACCCTTTTCTGCTCTCCAACCCTTTTCTGCTCTCCAACCCTTTTCTGCTCTCCAACCCTTTTCTGCTCTCCAACCCTTTTCTGCTCTCCAACCCTTTTCTGCTCTCCAACCCTTTTCTGCTCTCCAACCCTTTTCTGCTCTCCAACCCTTTTCTGCTCTCCAACCCTTTTCTGCTCTCCAACCCTTTTCTGCTCTCCAACCCTTTTCTGCTCTCCAACCCTTTTCTGCTCTCCAACCCTTTTCTGCTCTCCAACCCTTTTCTGCTCTCCAACCCTTTTCTGCTCTCCAACCCTTTTCTATCGTCTCCCCCTCGCCCTTATCGCGTGCTGCCTCTTTATATTTGAGATATGTGTGTTACTATCCTCCTCCTCACCACGCCCTACCCTCCCCTCCCCTCGCCCCCCCTTCCCTCACGCCCGTTGGCTCCCCGGGCAGACATGCCGAGTGCGGAGGACGAGGAGGTGTGTGTGTTGCTGCAGGAGTGTCTGCAGCTGAGGGACAAGTACGTGTTTAGGGAGGCCGTGCCGCCCTGGCATGCCGACGCCAACACGCTGCCCATGCCCGACCCCAGCGACCCCTTCCGCTACGACCCGCTCCCCCCCTCCGATGTGAGTCACGCCCTCCCGCCCTCCGACATGAGTCACGCCAGGGGCCACGGGCCTCACTCTATCATTGCATTCAAGCCTGCTGTCATGCTGTGTGGCTTAGAATCACGGGCCTTGCCGTGAGAGCGGCTGAGATGCCGTGAGAGGGGCTGAGATGCCGTGAGAGGGTCTGAGATGCCGTGAGAGGGGCTGAGATGCCGTGAGAGGGGCTGAGATGCTGTGAGAGGGGCTGAGATGCCGTGAGAGGGGCTGAGATGCCGTGAGAGGGGCTGCGATGCCGTGAGAGGGGCTGAGATGCCGTGAGAGGGGCTGAGATGCCGTGAGAGGGGCTGAGATGCCGTGAGAGGGGCTGAGATGCCGTGAGAGGGGCTGAGATGCCGTGAGAGGGGCTGAGATGCCGTGAGAGGGGCTGAGATGCCGTGAGAGGGGCTGAGATGCCGTGAGAGGGGCTGAGATGCCGTGAGAGGGGCTGAGATGCCGTGAGAGGGGCTGAGATGCCGTGAGAGGGGCAGGGGCTGAGATGCCGTGAGAGGGGCTGAGATGCCGTGAGAGGGGCTGCGATGCCGTGAGAGGGGCTGAGATGCCGTGAGAGGGGCTGAGATGCCGTGAGAGGGGCTGAGATGCCGTGAGAGGGGCTGAGATGCCGTGAGAGGGGCTGAGATGCCGTCAGAGGGGCTGAGATGCCGTGAGAGGGGCTGAGATGCCGTCAGAGGGGCTGAGATGCCGTCAGAGGGGCTGAGATGCCGTGAGAGGGGCTGAGATGCCGTGAGAGGGGCTGAGATGCCGTGAGAGGGGCTGAGATGCCGTGAGAGGGGCTGAGATGCCGTGAGAGGGGCTGAGATGCCGTGAGAGGGGCTGAGATGCCGTGAGAGGGGCTGAGATGCCGTGAGAGGGGCTGAGATGCCGTGAGAGGGGCTGAGATGCCGTGAGAGGGGCTGAGATGCCGTGAGAGGGGCTGAGATGCCGTGAGAGGGGCTGAGATGCCGTGAGAGGGGCTGAGATGCTGTGAGAGGGGCTGAGATGCCGTCAGAGGGGCTGAGATGCCGTCAGAGGGGCTGAGATGCCGTGAGAGGGGCTGAGATGCCGTGAGAGGGGCTGAGATGCCGTGAGAGGGGCTGAGATGCCGTGAGAGGGGCTGAGATGTCGTGAGAGGGGCTGAGATGCCGTGAGAGGGGCTGAGATGCCGTGAGAGGGGCTGAGATGCCGTGAGAGGGACTGAGATGCCGTGAGATGGGCTGAGATGCCGTGAGAGGGGCTGAGATGCCGTGAGAGGGGCTGAGATGCCGTGAGAGGGGCTGAGATGCCGTGAGAGGGGCTGAGATGCCGTGAGAGGGGCTGAGATGAGAGGGGCTGAGATGCCGTGAGAGGGGCTGAGATGCGGTGAGAGGGGCTGAGATGCCGTGAGAGGGGCTGAGATGCCGTGAGAGGGGCTGAGATACCGTGAGAGGGGCTGAGATGCCGTGCCTCCATGGCACGGTACACCCTTCCTTCCCATGCCCACTCCGAGCAGCCCTTTCAGCTGTTACCCCGTTCAGCTGTTACCCCGTTCAGCTGTTACCCCGTTCAGCTGTTACCCCTTTCAGCTGTTACCCCTTTCAGCTGTTACCCCTTTCAGCTGTTTCCCCTTTCCTCTGTATGTATGAAAGCATTTTATTGAGGGGCAGAATGTTTAGAACCAGAAAATGGTTTGGGAAGCTCAAGTGAAGTATTCTTTGTGTGTCTCTTCTTGCCCGGTGCATGGTGCTCTTGTGGTGTGTGCCGTCCCCCCTGTCATGGCATGGCAGCATGTGATAGAGATGGTGGATGGTGTGGTGAAGATATTCGCGGATAAGGAAGGTGCGTGGGTGACATGGCCACTGTGTAGTGTTGTAACGGAGTCTGCAGCAGCTGTGGAGCAGTGTGTGCAGCTGGGCATGATACTGCCACTGTTTTTGCCAGTCCCTCCCATTCTTTGATGACCACATGCTAGTGCAGTGCGATGCCACATCATCTCCCTCTACCCCCCACCCCCACCCCCACCCCCACCAGCCAAGGAGCGGGGCGAGGAGCTGTTCCCAGTGCACGACGCCACAACGTTCTTCACCGATCTGCACCGCATCCTCAAGATCACCTCCCTGGGCCACGTGCGCTCCCTCTGCTTCCACCGCCTGCGCCTCCTCGAACAGGTCAGCCCGTCCTCCTTGAACAGGTGAGTCAGCCCTCCTCGAACAGGTGAGCCCGCCCTCCTCGAACAGGTGAGCCCACACACACAAGCAGTACCCACTGTGTCGCTCCACGTGCGTGACTGTGTGGCTGTGTTGCTTTCTGCTTAACTGCTGCTGGTGGAGTGGGTGAGGGATGGTGGGAAGGATTGTTTGGGATGGAGTGGATCAGCCTCCCTTAACTGCAATGCCGGGATGCATTGCCGGCCCACCACGGACTGTGAGTCCACTGTGTTTAGGTTAGGGTACCACCAACCTTTATGTGCCATGTGCACATTCCCTCCCCCGCTGCCCATTCCCTTCCCCGTTGCCCATTCCCTCCCCTGCTGCCCATTCCATCCCCCGCTGCCCATTCCCTCCCCCGCTGCCCATTCCCTCCCCCGCTGCCCATTCCCTCCCCCGCTGCCCATTCCCTCCCCCGCTGCCCATTCTCTCCCCTGCTGCCCATTCCCTCCCCCGCTGCCCATTCCCTCCCCCGCTGCCCATTCCCTCCCCCGCTGCCCATTCCCTCCCCCGCTGCCCATTCTCTCCCCCGCTGCCCATTCCCTCCCCCGCTGCCCATTCTCTCCCCCGCTGCCCATTCTCTCCCCCGCTGCCCATTCTCTCCCCCGCTGCCCATTCTCTCCCCCGCTGCCCATTCTCTCCCCCGCTGCCCATTCTCTCCCCCGCTGCCCATTCCCTCCCCCGCTGCCCATTCTCTCCCCCGCTGCCCATTCTCTCCCCCGCTGCCCATTCTCTCCCCCGCTGCCCATTCCCTCCCCCGCTGCCCATTCTCTCCCCCGCTGCCCATTCTCTCCCCCGCTGCCCATTCTCTCCCCCGCTGCCCATTCTCTCCCCCGCTGCCCATTCTCTCCCCCGCTGCCCATTCCCTCCCCCGCTGCCCATTCTCTCCCCCGCTGCCCATTCTCTCCCCCGCTGCCCATTCTCTCCCCCGCTGCCCATTCCCTCCCCCGCTGCCCATTCTCTCCCCCGCTGCCCATTCTCTCCCCCGCTGCCCATTCTCTCCCCCGCTGCCCATTCTCTCCCCCGCTGCCCATTCTCTCCCCCGCTGCCCATTCTCTCCCCCGCTGCCCATTCTCTCCCCCGCTGCCCATTCTCTCCCCCGCTGCCCATTCTCTCCCCCGCTGCCCATTCTCTCCCCCGCTGCCCATTCTCTCCCCCGCTGCCCATTCTCTCCCCCGCTGCCCATTCTCTCCCCCGCTGCCCATTCTCTCCCCCGCTGCCCATTCTCTCCCCCGCTGCCCATTCTCTCCCCCGCTGCCCATTCTCTCCCCCGCTGCCCATTCTCTCCCCCGCTGCCCATTCTCTCCCCCGCTGCCCATTCTCTCCCCCGCTGCCCATTCTCTCCCCCGCTGCCCATTCTCTCCCCCGCTGCCCATTCTCTCCCCCGCTGCCCATTCTCTCCCCCGCTGCCCATTCTCTCCCCCGCTGCCCATTCTCTCCCCCGCTGCCCATTCTCTCCCCCGCTGCCCATTCTCTCCCCCGCTGCCCATTCCCTCCCCCGCTGCCCATTCCCTCCCCCGCTGCCCATTCCCTCCCCCGCTGCCCATTCTCTCCCCCGCTGCCCATTCTCTCCCCCGCTGCCCATTCTCTCCCCCGCTGCCCATTCTCTCCCCCGCTGCCCATTCTCTCCCCCGCTGCCCATTCTCTCCCCCGCTGCCCATTCTCTCCCCCGCTGCCCATTCTCTCCCCCGCTGCCCATTCTCTCCCCCGCTGCCCATTCTCTCCCGCGCTGCCCATTCTCTCCCCCGCTGCCCATTCTCTCCCCCGCTGCCCATTCTCTCCCCCGCTGCCCATTCTCCTCCCTTCCTCACCCCTCTTTCTCCTTCCTCACCCCTCTTTCTCCTTCCTCACCCCTCTTTCTCCTTCCCCCAGCGGTACCACCTGCATCTGACGCTGAACGCGGACCGCGAGTTCAAGGCGCAGAAGAGCGCGCCGCACCGCGACCTGTACAACGTGAGGAAGGTGGACACGCACGTGCACCACAGCGCGTGCATGAACCAGAAGCACCTGCTGCGCTTCATCAAGTCCAAACTCAGGAAGGAGCCCGACGAGGTGACAAGAGGGGGGGGGGGCGGGGGATGCTTCTGGGATCGGGAGGAGGGGACATGGGGGGAAGTGGGATGGGGAGAGAGGGCGGAGCGAAGGATGGGCGCCACACACAGGGCGTGCAGCCATAAGTGTTGTTGATTCACGAGTTTCATGCCTGCGTGCCTGCATGCCTGCATGCCTGCGTGCCGTGCCGTGCCTCTTCTCTTCATGATTGCTTCCTTTCTGAGCAGGTGGTGATCTTCCGTGACGGCAAGTACCTCACGCTCAAGGAGGTGTTTGAGAGCCTCGATCTCACCGGGTCAGTGCCCTGCCCTTCGCATGCACCCTCTGCCCTTCGCATGCACCCTCTGCCCCTCACCACCCCACCCCGTGGATCTCATCGCCAGCCCTCCAATTGACCGTTCATGCAATTGAGATCATGTTTCGCAATTCACCCAGGTGATCTGCTTAAAGCCCGCGGCCCAAATTGCGGGCCGCGCGGGTCAAGCTTTTAAAACTTGACGAACTAGTGTTTTCAAGGTTTGAAGAAAAGCGTGCCTGCAATTTGGGACTTTTGGGAACTGAACCAACCCCCAGGGCGAAATACGAGGGCGGGCTGGGTTTGGCAAAAAAAAAAAAAAAAAAAAAAAAACGAAAAAAGCGAAATCGGAATCTTTCGCCAAAACCCTCACCACAAAAACCCCCTCGCGTCAACCTTTTAAAAGTTGTGCAATTTGGGCTGCCGGCTTTAAACCAATCCCCTTCCCTTCACTCTCCTCGCCCCTTTCCTTCTCCTTTCCTGCCCTTTCCCCCCCCCGCCCCTCCGCCCAGCTACGATCTGAACGTGGATCTGTTGGACGTGCATGCGGACAAGAACACGTTTCACCGCTTTGACAAGTTCAACCTCAAGTACAACCCCTGTGGGCAGAGCCGACTCAGAGAGATCTTCATCAAGCAAGACAACCTCATCCAGGGTAACATGGCTCATTCCACCACCTCAACAGCTCGCAGTTCTGCGTGCATTGAGGTCGTTTTTGAGGCGCCTCATAAACGACCTCAATTTTGAGGCGCCTCAAAAACGACCTCATCCAGGGTAACATGGCTCATTCCACCACCTCAACAGCTCGCAGTTCTGAGAGCCTTCTTCCGTCAAACCGCCCTACAGTTGCGCATACACTTTATGACTTGCCTTTCCTGCTCCCCTTGCTACTTGTTTCTTTCCCTTTAGTGGCATTCACCTCCTTACCTTCATCCCTCCTTCCTCCCCCTCCACGCCCTCCCTCCCTATTGACCCTTTTCCTGACGCTACGCCCTTTTTCCTGCCTCTCCCTCTTGTGCCTAGTTGGTTTTTGAGAATTCTCAAAAACCAACCCTATTGCCCCTTTTCCTTGCGCTACTTGTGCCTCATCTTGTGCCTCATCTTGTGCCTCATCTTGTGCCTCATCTTGTGCCTCATCTTGTGCCTCATCTTGTGCCTCATCTTGTGCCTCATCTTGTGCCTCATCTTGTGCCTCATCTTGTGCCTCATCTTGTGCCTCATCTTGTGCCTCATCTTGTGCCTCATCTTGTGCCTCATCTTGTGCCTCATCTTGTGCCTCATCTTGTGCCTCATCTTGTGCCTCATCTTGTGCCTCATCTTGTGCCTCATCTTGTGCCTCATCTTGTGCCTCATCTTGTGCCTCATCTTGTGCCTCATCTTGTGCCTCATCTTGTGCCTCATCTTGTGCCTCATCTTGTGCCTCATCTTGTGCCTCATCTTGTGCCTCATCTTGTGCCTCATCTTGTGCCTCATCTTGTGCCTCATCTTGTGCCTCATCTTGTGCCTCATCTTGTGCCTCATCTTGTGCCTCATCTTGTGCCTCATCTTGTGCCTCATCTTGTGCCTCATCTTGTGCCTCATCTTGTGCCTCATCTTGTGCCTCATCTTGTGCCTCATCTTGTGCCTCATCTTGTGCCTCATCTTGTGCCTCATCTTGTGCCTCATCTTGTGCCTCATCTTGTGCCTCATCTTGTGCCTCATCTTGTGCCTCATCTTGTGCCTCATCTTGTGCCTCATCTTGTGCCTCATCTTGTGCCTCATCTTGTGCCTCATCTTGTGCCTCATCTTGTGCCTCATCTTGTGCCTCATCTTGTGCCTCATCTTGTGCCTCATCTTGTGCCTCATCTTGTGCCTCATCTTGTGCCTCATCTTGTGCCTCATCTTGTGCCTCATCTTGTGCCTCATCTTGTGCCTCATCTTGTGCCTCATCTTGTGCCTCATCTTGTGCCTCATCTTGTGCCTCATCTTGTGCCTCATCTTGTGCCTCATCTTGTGCCTCATCTTGTGCCTCATCTTGTGCCTCATCTTGTGCCTCATCTTGTGCCTCATCTTGTGCCTCATCTTGTGCCTCATCTTGTGCCTCATCTTGTGCCTCATCTTGTGCCTCATCTTGTGCCTCATCTTGTGCCTCATCTTGTGCCTCATCTTGTGCCTCATCTTGTGCCTCATCTTGTGCCTCATCTTGTGCCTCATCTTGTGCCTCATCTTGTGCCTCATCTTGTGCCTCATCTTGTGCCTCATCTTGTGCCTCATCTTGTGCCTCATCTTGTGCCTCATCTTGTGCCTCATCTTGTGCCTCATCTTGTGCCTCATCTTGTGCCTCATCTTGTGCCTCATCTTGTGCCTCATCTTGTGCCTCATCTTGTGCCTCATCTTGTGCCTCATCTTGTGCCTCATCTTGTGCCTCATCTTGTGCCTCATCTTGTGCCTCATCTTGTGCCTCATCTTGTGCCTCATCTTGTGCCTCATCTTGTGCCTCATCTTGTGCCTCATCTTGTGCCTCATCTTGTGCCTCATCTTGTGCCTCATCTTGTGCCTCATCTTGTGCCTCATCTTGTGCCTCATCTTGTGCCTCATCTTGTGCCTCATCTTGTGCCTCATCTTGTGCCTCATCTTGTGCCTCATCTTGTGCCTCATCTTGTGCCTCATCTTGTGCCTCATCTTGTGCCTCATCTTGTGCCTCATCTTGTGCCTCATCTTGTGCCTCATCTTGTGCCTCATCTTGTGCCTCATCTTGTGCCTCATCTTGTGCCTCATCTTGTGCCTCATCTTGTGCCTCATCTTGTGCCTCATCTTGTGCCTCATCTTGTGCCTCATCTTGTGCCTCATCTTGTGCCTCATCTTGTGCCTCATCTTGTGCCTCATCTTGTGCCTCATCTTGTGCCTCATCTTGTGCCTCATCTTGTGCCTCATCTTGTGCCTCATCTTGTGCCTCATCTTGTGCCTCATCTTGTGCCTCATCTTGTGCCTCATCTTGTGCCTCATCTTGTGCCTCATCTTGTGCCTCATCTTGTGCCTCATCTTGTGCCTCATCTTGTGCCTCATCTTGTGCCTCATCTTGTGCCTCATCTTGTGCCTCATCTTGTGCCTCATCTTGTGCCTCATCTTGTGCCTCATCTTGTGCCTCATCTTGTGCCTCATCTTGTGCCTCATCTTGTGCCTCATCTTGTGCCTCATCTTGTGCCTCATCTTGTGCCTCATCTTGTGCCTCATCTTGTGCCTCATCTTGTGCCTCATCTTGTGCCTCATCTTGTGCCTCATCTTGTGCCTCATCTTGTGCCTCATCTTGTGCCTCATCTTGTGCCTCATCTTGTGCCTCATCTTGTGCCTCATCTTGTGCCTCATCTTGTGCCTCATCTTGTGCCTCATCTTGTGCCTCATCTTGTGCCTCATCTTGTGCCTCATCTTGTGCCTCATCTTGTGCCTCATCTTGTGCCTCATCTTGTGCCTCATCTTGTGCCTCATCTTGTGCCTCATCTTGTGCCTCATCTTGTGCCTCATCTTGTGCCTCATCTTGTGCCTCATCTTGTGCCTCATCTTGTGCCTCATCTTGTGCCTCATCTTGTGCCTCATCTTGTGCCTCATCTTGTGCCTCATCTTGTGCCTCATCTTGTGCCTCATCTTGTGCCTCATCTTGTGCCTCATCTTGTGCCTCATCTTGTGCCTCATCTTGTGCCTCATCTTGTGCCTCATCTTGTGCCTCATCTTGTGCCTCATCTTGTGCCTCATCTTGTGCCTCATCTTGTGCCTCATCTTGTGCCTCATCTTGTGCCTCATCTTGTGCCTCATCTTGTGCCTCATCTTGTGCCTCATCTTGTGCCTCATCTTGTGCCTCATCTTGTGCCTCATCTTGTGCCTCATCTTGTGCCTCATCTTGTGCCTCATCTTGTGCCTCATCTTGTGCCTCATCTTGTGCCTCATCTTGTGCCTCATCTTGTGCCTCATCTTGTGCCTCATCTTGTGCCTCATCTTGTGCCTCATCTTGTGCCTCATCTTGTGCCTCATCTTGTGCCTCATCTTGTGCCTCATCTTGTGCCTCATCTTGTGCCTCATCTTGTGCCTCATCTTGTGCCTCATCTTGTGCCTCATCTTGTGCCTCATCTTGTGCCTCATCTTGTGCCTCATCTTGTGCCTCATCTTGTGCCTCATCTTGTGCCTCATCTTGTGCCTCATCTTGTGCCTCATCTTGTGCCTCATCTTGTGCCTCATCTTGTGCCTCATCTTGTGCCTCATCTTGTGCCTCATCTTGTGCCTCATCTTGTGCCTCATCTTGTGCCTCATCTTGTGCCTCATCTTGTGCCTCATCTTGTGCCTCATCTTGTGCCTCATCTTGTGCCTCATCTTGTGCCTCATCTTGTGCCTCATCTTGTGCCTCATCTTGTGCCTCATCTTGTGCCTCATCTTGTGCCTCATCTTGTGCCTCATCTTGTGCCTCATCTTGTGCCTCATCTTGTGCCTCATCTTGTGCCTCATCTTGTGCCTCATCTTGTGCCTCATCTTGTGCCTCATCTTGTGCCTCATCTTGTGCCTCATCTTGTGCCTCATCTTGTGCCTCATCTTGTGCCTCATCTTGTGCCTCATCTTGTGCCTCATCTTGTGCCTCATCTTGTGCCTCATCTTGTGCCTCATCTTGTGCCTCATCTTGTGCCTCATCTTGTGCCTCATCTTGTGCCTCATCTTGTGCCTCATCTTGTGCCTCATCTTGTGCCTCATCTTGTGCCTCATCTTGTGCCTCATCTTGTGCCTCATCTTGTGCCTCATCTTGTGCCTCATCTTGTGCCTCATCTTGTGCCTCATCTTGTGCCTCATCTTGTGCCTCATCTTGTGCCTCATCTTGTGCCTCATCTTGTGCCTCATCTTGTGCCTCATCTTGTGCCTCATCTTGTGCCTCATCTTGTGCCTCATCTTGTGCCTCATCTTGTGCCTCATCTTGTGCCTCATCTTGTGCCTCATCTTGTGCCTCATCTTGTGCCTCATCTTGTGCCTCATCTTGTGCCTCATCTTGTGCCTCATCTTGTGCCTCATCTTGTGCCTCATCTTGTGCCTCATCTTGTGCCTCATCTTGTGCCTCATCTTGTGCCTCATCTTGTGCCTCATCTTGTGCCTCATCTTGTGCCTCATCTTGTGCCTCATCTTGTGCCTCATCTTGTGCCTCATCTTGTGCCTCATCTTGTGCCTCATCTTGTGCCTCATCTTGTGCCTCATCTTGTGCCTCATCTTGTGCCTCATCTTGTGCCTCATCTTGTGCCTCATCTTGTGCCTCATCTTGTGCCTCATCTTGTGCCTCATCTTGTGCCTCATCTTGTGCCTCATCTTGTGCCTCATCTTGTGCCTCATCTTGTGCCTCATCTTGTGCCTCATCTTGTGCCTCATCTTGTGCCTCATCTTGTGCCTCATCTTGTGCCTCATCTTGTGCCTCATCTTGTGCCTCATCTTGTGCCTCATCTTGTGCCTCATCTTGTGCCTCATCTTGTGCCTCATCTTGTGCCTCATCTTGTGCCTCATCTTGTGCCTCATCTTGTGCCTCATCTTGTGCCTCATCTTGTGCCTCATCTTGTGCCTCATCTTGTGCCTCATCTTGTGCCTCATCTTGTGCCTCATCTTGTGCCTCATCTTGTGCCTCATCTTGTGCCTCATCTTGTGCCTCATCTTGTGCCTCATCTTGTGCCTCATCTTGTGCCTCATCTTGTGCCTCATCTTGTGCCTCATCTTGTGCCTCATCTTGTGCCTCATCTTGTGCCTCATCTTGTGCCTCATCTTGTGCCTCATCTTGTGCCTCATCTTGTGCCTCATCTTGTGCCTCATCTTGTGCCTCATCTTGTGCCTCATCTTGTGCCTCATCTTGTGCCTCATCTTGTGCCTCATCTTGTGCCTCATCTTGTGCCTCATCTTGTGCCTCATCTTGTGCCTCATCTTGTGCCTCATCTTGTGCCTCATCTTGTGCCTCATCTTGTGCCTCATCTTGTGCCTCATCTTGTGCCTCATCTTGTGCCTCATCTTGTGCCTCATCTTGTGCCTCATCTTGTGCCTCATCTTGTGCCTCATCTTGTGCCTCATCTTGTGCCTCATCTTGTGCCTCATCTTGTGCCTCATCTTGTGCCTCATCTTGTGCCTCATCTTGTGCCTCATCTTGTGCCTCATCTTGTGCCTCATCTTGTGCCTCATCTTGTGCCTCATCTTGTGCCTCATCTTGTGCCTCATCTTGTGCCTCATCTTGTGCCTCATCTTGTGCCTCATCTTGTGCCTCATCTTGTGCCTCATCTTGTGCCTCATCTTGTGCCTCATCTTGTGCCTCATCTTGTGCCTCATCTTGTGCCTCATCTTGTGCCTCATCTTGTGCCTCATCTTGTGCCTCATCTTGTGCCTCATCTTGTGCCTCATCTTGTGCCTCATCTTGTGCCTCATCTTGTGCCTCATCTTGTGCCTCATCTTGTGCCTCATCTTGTGCCTCATCTTGTGCCTCATCTTGTGCCTCATCTTGTGCCTCATCTTGTGCCTCATCTTGTGCCTCATCTTGTGCCTCATCTTGTGCCTCATCTTGTGCCTCATCTTGTGCCTCATCTTGTGCCTCATCTTGTGCCTCATCTTGTGCCTCATCTTGTGCCTCATCTTGTGCCTCATCTTGTGCCTCATCTTGTGCCTCATCTTGTGCCTCATCTTGTGCCTCATCTTGTGCCTCATCTTGTGCCTCATCTTGTGCCTCATCTTGTGCCTCATCTTGTGCCTCATCTTGTGCCTCATCTTGTGCCTCATCTTGTGCCTCATCTTGTGCCTCATCTTGTGCCTCATCTTGTGCCTCATCTTGTGCCTCATCTTGTGCCTCATCTTGTGCCTCATCTTGTGCCTCATCTTGTGCCTCATCTTGTGCCTCATCTTGTGCCTCATCTTGTGCCTCATCTTGTGCCTCATCTTGTGCCTCATCTTGTGCCTCATCTTGTGCCTCATCTTGTGCCTCATCTTGTGCCTCATCTTGTGCCTCATCTTGTGCCTCATCTTGTGCCTCATCTTGTGCCTCATCTTGTGCCTCATCTTGTGCCTCATCTTGTGCCTCATCTTGTGCCTCATCTTGTGCCTCATCTTGTGCCTCATCTTGTGCCTCATCTTGTGCCTCATCTTGTGCCTCATCTTGTGCCTCATCTTGTGCCTCATCTTGTGCCTCATCTTGTGCCTCATCTTGTGCCTCATCTTGTGCCTCATCTTGTGCCTCATCTTGTGCCTCATCTTGTGCCTCATCTTGTGCCTCATCTTGTGCCTCATCTTGTGCCTCATCTTGTGCCTCATCTTGTGCCTCATCTTGTGCCTCATCTTGTGCCTCATCTTGTGCCTCATCTTGTGCCTCATCTTGTGCCTCATCTTGTGCCTCATCTTGTGCCTCATCTTGTGCCTCATCTTGTGCCTCATCTTGTGCCTCATCTTGTGCCTCATCTTGTGCCTCATCTTGTGCCTCATCTTGTGCCTCATCTTGTGCCTCATCTTGTGCCTCATCTTGTGCCTCATCTTGTGCCTCATCTTGTGCCTCATCTTGTGCCTCATCTTGTGCCTCATCTTGTGCCTCATCTTGTGCCTCATCTTGTGCCTCATCTTGTGCCTCATCTTGTGCCTCATCTTGTGCCTCATCTTGTGCCTCATCTTGTGCCTCATCTTGTGCCTCATCTTGTGCCTCATCTTGTGCCTCATCTTGTGCCTCATCTTGTGCCTCATCTTGTGCCTCATCTTGTGCCTCATCTTGTGCCTCATCTTGTGCCTCATCTTGTGCCTCATCTTGTGCCTCATCTTGTGCCTCATCTTGTGCCTCATCTTGTGCCTCATCTTGTGCCTCATCTTGTGCCTCATCTTGTGCCTCATCTTGTGCCTCATCTTGTGCCTCATCTTGTGCCTCATCTTGTGCCTCATCTTGTGCCTCATCTTGTGCCTCATCTTGTGCCTCATCTTGTGCCTCATCTTGTGCCTCATCTTGTGCCTCATCTTGTGCCTCATCTTGTGCCTCATCTTGTGCCTCATCTTGTGCCTCATCTTGTGCCTCATCTTGTGCCTCATCTTGTGCCTCATCTTGTGCCTCATCTTGTGCCTCATCTTGTGCCTCATCTTGTGCCTCATCTTGTGCCTCATCTTGTGCCTCATCTTGTGCCTCATCTTGTGCCTCATCTTGTGCCTCATCTTGTGCCTCATCTTGTGCCTCATCTTGTGCCTCATCTTGTGCCTCATCTTGTGCCTCATCTTGTGCCTCATCTTGTGCCTCATCTTGTGCCTCATCTTGTGCCTCATCTTGTGCCTCATCTTGTGCCTCATCTTGTGCCTCATCTTGTGCCTCATCTTGTGCCTCATCTTGTGCCTCATCTTGTGCCTCATCTTGTGCCTCATCTTGTGCCTCATCTTGTGCCTCATCTTGTGCCTCATCTTGTGCCTCATCTTGTGCCTCATCTTGTGCCTCATCTTGTGCCTCATCTTGTGCCTCATCTTGTGCCTCATCTTGTGCCTCATCTTGTGCCTCATCTTGTGCCTCATCTTGTGCCTCATCTTGTGCCTCATCTTGTGCCTCATCTTGTGCCTCATCTTGTGCCTCATCTTGTGCCTCATCTTGTGCCTCATCTTGTGCCTCATCTTGTGCCTCATCTTGTGCCTCATCTTGTGCCTCATCTTGTGCCTCATCTTGTGCCTCATCTTGTGCCTCATCTTGTGCCTCATCTTGTGCCTCATCTTGTGCCTCATCTTGTGCCTCATCTTGTGCCTCATCTTGTGCCTCATCTTGTGCCTCATCTTGTGCCTCATCTTGTGCCTCATCTTGTGCCTCATCTTGTGCCTCATCTTGTGCCTCATCTTGTGCCTCATCTTGTGCCTCATCTTGTGCCTCATCTTGTGCCTCATCTTGTGCCTCATCTTGTGCCTCATCTTGTGCCTCATCTTGTGCCTCATCTTGTGCCTCATCTTGTGCCTCATCTTGTGCCTCATCTTGTGCCTCATCTTGTGCCTCATCTTGTGCCTCATCTTGTGCCTCATCTTGTGCCTCATCTTGTGCCTCATCTTGTGCCTCATCTTGTGCCTCATCTTGTGCCTCATCTTGTGCCTCATCTTGTGCCTCATCTTGTGCCTCATCTTGTGCCTCATCTTGTGCCTCATCTTGTGCCTCATCTTGTGCCTCATCTTGTGCCTCATCTTGTGCCTCATCTTGTGCCTCATCTTGTGCCTCATCTTGTGCCTCATCTTGTGCCTCATCTTGTGCCTCATCTTGTGCCTCATCTTGTGCCTCATCTTGTGCCTCATCTTGTGCCTCATCTTGTGCCTCATCTTGTGCCTCATCTTGTGCCTCATCTTGTGCCTCATCTTGTGCCTCATCTTGTGCCTCATCTTGTGCCTCATCTTGTGCCTCATCTTGTGCCTCATCTTGTGCCTCATCTTGTGCCTCATCTTGTGCCTCATCTTGTGCCTCATCTTGTGCCTCATCTTGTGCCTCATCTTGTGCCTCATCTTGTGCCTCATCTTGTGCCTCATCTTGTGCCTCATCTTGTGCCTCATCTTGTGCCTCATCTTGTGCCTCATCTTGTGCCTCATCTTGTGCCTCATCTTGTGCCTCATCTTGTGCCTCATCTTGTGCCTCATCTTGTGCCTCATCTTGTGCCTCATCTTGTGCCTCATCTTGTGCCTCATCTTGTGCCTCATCTTGTGCCTCATCTTGTGCCTCATCTTGTGCCTCATCTTGTGCCTCATCTTGTGCCTCATCTTGTGCCTCATCTTGTGCCTCATCTTGTGCCTCATCTTGTGCCTCATCTTGTGCCTCATCTTGTGCCTCATCTTGTGCCTCATCTTGTGCCTCATCTTGTGCCTCATCTTGTGCCTCATCTTGTGCCTCATCTTGTGCCTCATCTTGTGCCTCATCTTGTGCCTCATCTTGTGCCTCATCTTGTGCCTCATCTTGTGCCTCATCTTGTGCCTCATCTTGTGCCTCATCTTGTGCCTCATCTTGTGCCTCATCTTGTGCCTCATCTTGTGCCTCATCTTGTGCCTCATCTTGTGCCTCATCTTGTGCCTCATCTTGTGCCTCATCTTGTGCCTCATCTTGTGCCTCATCTTGTGCCTCATCTTGTGCCTCATCTTGTGCCTCATCTTGTGCCTCATCTTGTGCCTCATCTTGTGCCTCATCTTGTGCGCGCTCTCATCTCTACCCACCAACCTCACCACCTTCCAGGAAGGTTCTTGGCGGAGGTGACAAAGGAGGTGTTCACGGATCTGGTGGCGTCCAAATACCAGGTGGGGGCAACAAGGTAGTGAGGTGCTTGGGAGGCGAGGTGCTTGGGAGGCGAGGTGCTTGGGAGGCGAGGTGCAATAAGGCATCCTCAGCGTCACTGCACTTGCCTGTCACTTGATCCAATGTCATTCAGAGGGAGTGCTGTGTGTCAATCCATCCACATCCCCTCCCCCCTCTGCTGCTCTGCTTCTGCTTCTGCATTTGCCTCACGTCCTGCCATACGTCCCCCATTCCCCTGCCTTTCTCTCCCCTCCCTCCCGCACCTTCCTCCCACCTGTGTGCGAGGGCAGATGGCAGAGTACAGGGTGTCGATCTACGGGCGCAAGATGAGCGAGTGGGACCAGCTGGCCAGCTGGGTCGTCAACAACGACCTCTACTGCCCCAACGTCGTCTGGCTCATCCAGGTGGGCGGCTGGCTCATCCAGGTGGGCGGCTGGCTCATCCAGGTGGGCGGCTGGCTCATCCAGGTGGGTACACGTGGTTCAGCATGGGTGTTTTTGGGTCGCATTTCGGCTGTGGCTGGACTGCTGACAGCAGTTAGGTGGATTGCTCGGCGACCGTGCCAGCTTTAGATGCTGTGGGTGCTTAATTCACCCTCGCCTTCCCTTGAGCCAGCGCCTTCCCTCCCTCCATCCCTCTCCGTCTCTGCTCCTCTGTGTGTACCCATCCTACCTGTGCGTGGCAGCTCCCCCGCCTGTACAACGTGTACAAGGACATGGGCATAGTGGCGTCGTTCCAGACCATGCTGGACAACATCTTCCTGCCGCTCTTTGAAGTCACCGTTGACCCCTCCTCGCACCCGCACCTCCACATCTTCCTCAACCATGTGAGTGCGTGTGTGCACCAGTTTACGCTGTGAGCAGGCAGTGCCCCTGTCTGTCGGTTGTGCCATCCAGAGGTTCCAATTCCATCACCTCTCACCAGGGCCGCCCAGAGTGATGCTCCCAACAGGTTGGCTTGGACGGGTTGAGGCAATACCCGCGCCACTTTGGCACTTGTCCCGCCCCCACCCCCCCCCGGTGCACTTGTGTTGCCTCTCACACCACACAGCTGTGCACCCCATGCCGGAGCAACGCGTCATGCTGCCGCGTTCCTTCACTCCCACAACTGCACCACGTGGTGGGGTTTGGCACAGTGGGCCGTGTGTTCTGACCCGCCTTACCCTCTCTGCTGCATCCCCTCGTGTGCCCCCTGCTCTGCCCTGTGCGCCAGGTGGTGGGGTTTGACATGGTGGACGATGAGAGCCACGTGTGACCCACGTGTGCCCCCCTCTGCGCCCCCTGTGCACCAGGTGGTGGGGTTTGACATGGTGGACGATGAGAGCCGCCCGGAGCGCCGGCCAACGAAGCACATGATAACACCGGCGGAATGGACCAACCCCTTCAACCCCGCCTACTCCTACTACACCTACTACGTCTATGCCAACCTCTACAAGCTCAACCGCGTGCGTGCCTTGCCCTGCCCTCGCTCTGCCTTGCCCTGCCCTCGCTCTGCCTTGCCCTGCCCTCGCTCTGCCTTGCCCTGCCCTCGCTCTGCGCTGCCCTCACTCTGCCCGTTAGCATGCTCTCATCTCGACTGCTGACCCCTCCTGCCTATCACATTGTTTCTAAGTTGCAAAGCCTCTTCTGGACCAGTCCCCACGCTATTGTATCTCTTAAAGTCTTTTTCGTCCCATTCTCCTGCCCTTCGCCTTCTCGTTCCTCTATCCACTTGCTCGTCCCCTTTCCTCCCCCCCTCTCTCTTCTCATCCGTCACTCTTTGCCCTGCACTTCCCCCACTCCCCCTCCCCCCCACCCACACACAGCTGCGCGAGTCCAAGGGCCTCTCCATCCTCAAGTTCCGCCCGCACTCTGGGGAGGTGAGACAGGGGAGGGGAAGGTGAGACGGGGAGAGGGGGAGGAGGAGGCGAGATGGAATGGGAGTGGAAAGTGACTTTTGAGTCGACTCACCAGACCAAAAGTCACCAGGAGGCGAGATGGAATGGGAGTGGAAAGTGACTTTTGAGTCGACTCACCAGACCAAAAGTCACCAGGAGGCGAGATGGAATGGGAGTGGAAAGTGACTTTTGAGTCGACTCACCAGACCAAAAGTCACCAGGAGGCGAGATGGAATGGGAGTGGAAAGTGACTTTTGAGTCGACTCACCAGACCAAAAGTCACCAGGAGGCGAGATGGAATGGGAGTGGAAAGTGACTTTTGAGTCGACTCACCAGACCAAAAGTCACCAGGAGGCGAGATGGAATGGGAGTGGAAAGTGGGGAGGGTGGGGTAATCAAGTGGGACCTGTGCCAGGTGTCACCCAAACCACATCACACAGCAACAAGCTTCTTCTCACCTTGCTCTCTGCCTTCCTCTCTCCTCCTTAAACCCTGTTCCCCCATCCAAACCCCCTCCCGGCCCTCCCATGCACTCCCCACGGCAGGCAGGAGACGTGGACCATCTAGCCGCCACCTTCCTGACGGCGCACAACATAGCGCACGGCAACAACCTGCGGCGCACGCCGGCCCTGCAGCACCTGTACTACCTGGCGCAGATCGGGCTGGCCATGTCCCCTTTGAGCAACAACTCCTTGTTCCTGGACTACCACAAGAACCCCTTCCCGCAGTTCTTTGCACGCGGCCTGAACGTGTCGCTGTCCACAGACGACCCCCTCATGATCCACCTCACCAAGGAGCCGCTCGTCGAGGAGTACAGCATCGCTGCGCAGGTACCCGGTTGTTTCATTCCACAGCATTGCCGCTCAGGTGGGTACAGCATCGCCACTCAGGCGGGTACAGCATCGCCGCTCAGGTGGGTACAGCATTGCCGCTCAGGTGGGTACAGCATCGCCGCTCAGGTGGGTACAGCATTGCCGCTCAGGTGGGTACAGCATCGCCGCTCAGGTCGGCGCATGTTTCTTTTTTTCATATTGCGCCACTTACGATTTCCCCATAATCCGTCTTGCCTTTCAACAAACCATAAAACACTCTCCCTTTCAACAAACCATAAACCACTCTCCCTTTCAACAAACCATAAACCACTCTCCCTTTCAACAAACCATAAACCACTCTCCCTTTCAACAAACCATAAACCACTCTCCCTTTCAACAATCCATAAACCACTCTCCCTTTCAACAAACCATAAACCACTCTCCCTTTCAACAAACCATAAACCACTCTCCCTTTCAACAAACCATAAACCACTCTCCCTTTCAACAAACCATAAACCACTCTCCCTTTCCGCTTGTCTGTCCCCTCCCAGCCCCTCTGTCCCTTCTGTGCATCAGTGAAGGCGCCTTACCTCCTGCAACATTCTAGGTCACCTCCCCCCTGTCCTCATTCCCTTCCCTCTGTTCCTCTTTTCTCCCTCCCTAATCCACCACACCCCTCCTTCCCGCTCTCCCACACCAGGTGTTGCGCCTGACTTCATGCGACCTCTGTGAGATTGCGAGGTGACTTTTGAGTCGACTCAAAAGTTCCCCCTCTCCCACACCACGCCAGGTGTGGCGCCTGACTTCATGCGACCTCTGTGAGATTGCGAGGTGACTTTTGAGTCGACTCAAAAGTTCCCCCTCTCCCACACCACGCCAGGTGTGGCGCCTGACTTCATGCGACCTCTGTGAGATAGCCCGCAACTCCGTCTACCAGTCAGGCTTCTGGCACCCCACCAAGGTACCTACCTCGCCTCCTGCTTTGCTCCTGCACTGCAGTTTCCTTCCCCCCCTCTCATCTTCCCCTCGCATCCTACCCCTGGTTCCCCGCTTATCCTCCCCTCATCATTCGAACCCCCCATTTCCTTATGTATCATCCTGTTCTGCACCCTGCACCCTCCTCACTACCCATCCAAGATAATTCCCAATCGACCAAATGGTGGTCACCTTGTTACAATATCACCCGCAACAGCCTCACCACCCGCTTGTGCTTCTCTCCCGCTTGCCTCCCCTCCCCTCCCCCCAGGCGCATTGGATAGGGCCGCGCTACTTCCTGCGGGGCCCAGACAGCAACGACATCCACCGCACCAACGTGCCGCACATCCGCATTGAATTCCGCTACCAGGTGGGGCCAGTTGAGTTGCGCTACCAGGTGGGGCCAGTTGCATTGCGCTACCAGGTGGGGCGAGTTGCGCTACCAGGTGGGGCGAGTTGCGCTGCCAGGTGGGGCGAGTTGCGCTACCAGGTGGGGCGAGTTGCGCTACCAGGTGGGGCGAGTTGCGCTACCAGGTGGGGCGAGTTGCGGTACCAGGTGGGGCGAGTTGCGCTACCAGGTGGGGCGAGTTGCGTTGCGCTACCAGGTGGGGCGAGTTGTGCTACCAGGTGAGGTGACGCACACCCTGCCTGCCCCATCCGTGCATGCATGGGAGGATGCGGAGTACGGTATGCATATTCAGGGAATGCAAAGAGTGCATCACAAGGGCATTACTGTGTGCCGCTCCTCCTGAACAAAGATGTGTTGTGTGGCATTGCACCGGGATGACTTGTTACTTGACTCGGCGGAGTCACCAAGCATCTTTGTTGAGATATGGAGTAAGAGTGTCTGCACCTTAAGAGTGTGCTTGCTGCTGCGCCTTCCTCCCCTGTCCCCCGTTCCCCATCACCTTCCCCCTGTCCTCATTTCCTTCCCTCTGTTCCTCATTCCTCCCATGCAGGCATGGGAGGCAGAGATGGAGTATGTGTATCTGGGCAAGGCCAAGCTGCCTCAGGAGATCGACTCCTGATCTGATGCCCTCTGGTGCCCCGCACCCTCACCTGCTTCTCTGCGCCTGTGCTGCACTTCTGCTGTATGCTGATCCACACGGGCCAACCCCTATACAGGCTGGGTCAAGCCCTTGCCATGCCAAGAGCTGTGCCGAGTACATGGCAAGGCCCGTCCTAATGTATTGCATGGCCATGTAGGTGCATGCCTTTGTAATTAGCCCCTCTCTAGGCTACATTCTTTCTTTCTGCATTGCAGCATGCTGCTGCATTTGACTCTGTAATAGGCCTGCTGATAGCTTCAAGATTGTGTATGCCAAGTGCTTGGCATGTGTAGTTGCTGCTTTCAGCACAACTAAAAACTCCTGCCTGTTACCATTGCCCACATAACATGACCACTCTATTCTCCGAAACATGACCACTCTATACTCTCGTTTCCATCAAACCCACGCCCCTAGTGGTGCTGTTGTAGTGCCCCTTCAGCTCCATCCTCCAGCGTCATTCAGCCCCTCTGTCCTTGCCCTCCACACAGGGTTCCCTCCACACAGGGTTCCTCGCGCTGACACTGTCCACAATACAATAGTGCCCTCCCATGTGCTGCACAGCCCATTCTACATGGTGGCTCTAGCAGAGCTTTCAAACTGCCGCTTGAGCTCCAGCGCCCTCTCAAACAGCCCCTCGTCCATGCCCTCCACACTCCGCCCCAGCTGTGCTAGTAGCACCTGCAGGGGAAGCCGGGGGCAGAGGAGGAAGGTGAAGGAAGCTGTGATTAACTCAGGCGGAGGGTTTGTGGTTGACTCAAGGCACACAAAGTGGCGGGGGAGAAGACAGTGGGCTTGGGTGGGGGCAGAGTGCGGGTTGGTGAAGCGAGGGATGGCAGAAGTGTGCATTCTTAATGCCATTTGGAACGTGCACCATGTAGCAGAGGCAACTTCTTGAGTGCTTGTAGAGAAGAGGTATGACCTATCGTGGTATTTTCGAGACTGTAGTCAACTCAGCAGGAAGTCAGCAAGCCGGGCAGGCAGGCACATGGCACATGGCACATGGCACATGGCACATGGCACTCCTCTGCACCAGCTCACCATCTTGTCTTCCTCTCTCGCGTCTTCTCTCCAATGGACCTTGCCTAGAAACTGGAACAGGCTGTTGGGCCGCATGCCAGGTGTGATTATATGGGATGTGTCTACAGCGAGCAGAGCTCCGGACCGGTCCTCTAGTCTGATGAGCGTGTCGTCACCTCCTGCTACTGGTCGGATCCTGAAGGGTGAGGGAAACAAGGTATCACGGATTGAAGCACTCGCAATTCACTTACTTGTTTGAGTCATGATATCTTTGCAACAGTGACATATGATTTTAACAGTGCAATTGTACCTGCCAGTGACCCTTACGAGCATCCCCGCTATTGATTGACCCGCTGAAACCACTTCACAGACATGCATGATCCGCGCGCATGGCAAGCCGTCCGTTGCGCTCGCCCTGCGGTGCTCGGAAGAACGGGTTGGGAAGAGGGGTTCGTAGCAATTCGAAAAAAACGCTTATATCTTCAAGTTTATAAGGGAGTGGGCTGATGAACTCAAGAAAAGCCTCGCAAACATTTTCTGCTGTGGTCTAACGATCGCGACTGCGGTGGTCGTGTGGAATGAGCTTACGACATTCTTCGGGAGATTGATGGCGTAATGCGCGTTAGCAGATTCACATGATGGGCACTATGCTGGCGTGCTTGTCCCAGCTCGCTTAGAATCGCGTCATTCAAGCCAAGAGATTCTCCAGCAGCATGGCGCTGCTGCGACACCTAGCGCAATCGATTTCAGCAAGCACACATATCAAATGGTTGGGAGCTTCTCGAGGTTGGAGATGCCTTGCCGATCGCATTCGGTATCGGACTGGTAAGGGGCTGAGTGATTGTGAGGGTGGTGTGTGCGAAAGCTGACACTCCACTCGGCTGCGGCCTGGCAAGGTGTGCGACTGTGTGCGAAAGCTGACACCTGAGATTCTGGGAAGCCGCGCCGTGGTGGTGTGCTGTGCTGCGCTGGTCTGACAATTTTGCGCGCCTATTCTGCTGCAGACAAGCTGGCGCAAGCCCGCCCTCGCGCACAATGGTGTTGGGGGTGTTGTTCGCGGGAAGGTGATGTTCGGAATTTCGGATTACAGATTCTTGATTCTCCTGGAGATTTGGAAATATTAGGGCATTCCGCAGTATTTTGTTTCCGCACTGAAAACTGAACTCCAGAGCCGTCGAAGCTTATTGTGACTGGCTTCGGTGACTTCCAGAACCATTCGTGGCAGAATCCACTGACACTTATACACCGAGGTTATGTCGACCTGGAACTCTGAAGTCCCTCAAATCAACCAGAACGGTGTCTCCCCGCGCCCAGCCGCCTTGGTCTGTTTCGCGAACGCTGTTCGATAACTTGTAACTCGCTAGCTCTTCGTGCATGCTTCGCTGGGCCTCCTTACGACCAGGTACATAGCTGAGTGAGGTGGTCATTGCCGCTGCACTCCAGCCAGATCCTTCACTTTCTTCAGTTCACCTCACTTTTCTCACAACACCAAGGTTAGGGTTCCGTTCTCTGGCTGGTGGTGTGGGTCAAGTTGATTGGATTCTGTCATCTACTAGCTCAACCATTAGCACACAAACTTGTAAGACTAGAAGGCTTGTGTGCTAGGTTATAGCCCGAGTCACGCGGTATCGTTACAGTCTGCACCCGGATGGCGTGAGAAGCTTTTCGTGATCCACACGCGAGCGGAGTACGGAGGACCACCTCGCGGACTTATTCATCCCTGGACTCACCGGATTTACTGCCGTACGCCGCACCTCAAATCTGCACGAGTAGCCGCAGCTTCACGAGAACATTGGTCGACAGAACGCGTTGACCCTTTATCTCCCTTTAGCATTAGCCGTTACGCTCATCACAGCGGCAGGCGGCTTCGTCAGTGTGTAACAATTAGTAGAGTGAACAACTCCTCCAGATTCGGCAAGGTTTTCCGCACAGCAGCCCGTGATTACAGCAGCACGCCATGGGTCCCTTGGCGTTACCCTTGTCGACCGGCAAACGCTCTCTCAGATCCAGACGCGATAGGAACATCTTCGCTTCCGTCGCTTATGGCCAGATCTCAGGCAGAAGTATTATGAGCATCCGCCGCCTTCCGAAGCCTTTGTATCAAAGGCTCTACGCGTTGTCTCATGGCATGGCTGGCTTATGCAAGGATGTCGAATCGCACTTTCTGGCGAACGATCTAGAAGCGTGCCGAAGTGTGATTGGCCGGATTTTCCGCAACATCGGGGAGTCTTCGAGTGGCAACCAGCAGAGCAGTCGCGACTGGTTCGTTTACTGCGGAGGTGACACCCTCTTCATCCGCATTCTCTCCTCGCCGTTTGCGAATCCTCGCGAAACAGATCGCGAAGGAGTCTCTTCAGCAGCTACTGAAAGACAGGGAGGCGCTGCTGGAGCGGGAGCGGCATCTGGCGGAGGGGGAAGAGCTGGCGGGGGGTCGCGGAACCGCCGTGGAATTTTCCGCACGGAGAGCGCAGACGGATCGCGGGAGTCGGGGACGCTCCGAGAGGGGGATGCGTCGCGGGAGGAGACGGCGCTATGGATGATGCGCAACGACTGCCTGGCGGTGCTGCGCGAGATGTGCTTCGCGTCCGCGTGCTTCTCCGAGGGGCTGTCGGTGCAGCGGCACTTCCTCATCCGCCTCTTCGCGCTCATGGAGAATAAAATCACCTTCGACTACGGTACGCACCATGGATGGATGGACGCTGTGCGTCGCATGCTCGTCAGTGAAACGTGCTCTCGCATTGTCTCAAGGTCGAGATGCTTCTCTATTATTTTATTCGATTCGATTATCCTCGCAGTGTAGTACTTTCCAGTTTGACTAGATTCCAGCTCGTTCTTTCTCTTCCCCCATCGCGTTACCTGCTCAATTGTGTACTTCGCACATCTTAGTTCCGAGCTCTCTTCCCATCTTGTTCGTAACTCTGTCTAGCTCTTCGCTCGTTTTGACCTGTTGTATGCTCTTCTCCCCTGCGTCCTTTCATCTACCCCGTCACAGCCGTCGCGTTAGCGGAGGAGATACTGGCGGTGGGGGAGGAGACGCTGGATCTGGGGTCGGTGCCCAACTTCGCGCGGCTGGTGCGCGGGCTGTCGGCGCGGCAGCTGTCCTTCTTCTGCCGCGTGCTCGCTATGGTGGTCTTCGAACCCGAGGACCGCGCGCCCGAGGTCTCCGCGCTGCAGAAGGGCGCGGACCCGGCGGAGCGCGCGGAGCGGGAGGCGGAGTGGGCGGTGGCGGACGGCAATCACGACGTGCTGCTCGCCATCCCCGACATCCTCGCCAACCTCGTCAAGCTCCTTCAGGTGCCGCGTCGTGCACTCCCCTGCCTCTCCTCGCTCACGCACCTCGTGATCTGCTGTGCTGTGCTTTTGTGAATCCGTTGCAGGTGCGACGTGTGTTTGAAGGATTAAAATGTGGTACGAGGTGCTGGTGTGTCTCTGGAGTGTTTGCTGGTCAGAAAAGTGCAATGCGTCTAAACTGCCCCCTTTTTATTGTGTCGTGCCTCTCCATACTGACCACCACCACGTTGGAGCATTATAATGATGGTGCGATGACTGTGTATCGTTGTGCATGATGGTGTATCGATTCTGTGGGCGGCAGATGGAGAGCAGCGGCGAGGCGGACCTGTGGTCGCCCAGCCTGAGCGAGTGGCAACCGCTGCTGGGCGACCTCATGGCTGGCGAAGACGAGACCGCTGCTGACTGGGGGCCTGAAGAGGACGACGAGGAGGACTATAACGAGGACGGGGAGGAGTACGAGGAGGAGGAGCAGGATGAGGGAGATGAGGAGGTGGAGGAGGAGGTTGATATGGAGGACGAGGTTGTGGAGGCAGAGGCAGAGGAGGGGGAGGGAGAGGAGGGGGAGGGAGAGGAGGGGGAGGGAGAGGAGGCGGAGGGAGAGGAGGGGGAGGAAGGGGAAGAGTCTGGTTTCTACGAGGATGTGGAGGAGGAGATTGCAGGGGGGGACGAGGAGGAGGGCGGGGAGGGGGGAGAAGTAGAGGAGGAGGAGGAAGTGCGCGGAGGGGGGAACATGAGTGGGGGCGAGAGGCAGGGGCCCAGGTTGGGGAGGCTGTGGGGGGGAGGGGATGGTGCGGAGAGGACGGGAGGTGCGAGGGAGAGGAGGGAGAGCGCGGGTGGGGGTGCGGCTGCAGGCGCGATTCATTTCATCCAGGGCTTGTTCGGCTGGGGAACCGGCGATGCTGGTGCTAGCACCCATAGCACTAGCGGTGGCAGTGGCGGTAGTGGGGGAGGGAGGGAGGCGGAAGGGAATGGGAGGGGTAGAGGCGCGGCACAAGGTGCTTCGGAAGGCGCTGGCGCAGGGGAAGACGGCGGAGATGGTGCGGCACAAGCCTCTGGCGCTGCAGGCAGGCAGGCCAGCAGGGGGAATCTCTGGGGAGGGTTCGGGCTGTTTGGGGGGCTAGGGGGACTTCGCCCAGGGGGAACAGGCGGTGCGGGAGGACCAGCGCGGGAGGGCGGGGCAGGGGAAGGAGGAGAGGAGCAAGAGCCTGGTCCGGATGGTGGTGGTAGTGCTGTGGCTGTCAGTCAACGGCGAACTGGTGCTGCTGCACCTGCGGCAGGAGTGGCGCCACGCGGAGCAGCAGATACCACCCAAGGGCCCTTCTCCCCGCGTTCGCCTCCTGTTGCCGCTCCTCCCCCCCGCATGCCGCCACTCCTCCCCCCCTCCCCCCATGCTGCCGTGCTGCCCTTCTCCCCACATCCCGCCATCCTCACAGGAACCTCCACCTCCCCCCCTCGACCGCCCCCTAACCGCACTCCACCCACTGCTACCCAACCAGGAGCGCTTCCCCAAGTGAATACCATAGGCATTCCAATGACCCCCAATCCCCTGAACCTGCTCCCACTCACCGCGCCTGCCAACCCCGCCGCTGCTGCAACCGCCGCGGAGGCAGCTGGCGCGGGTCTTCCTGCAGGCGCGCGGGTGATGGTGTTCGTGGGGAACCCGCCGCGCCTGCTGGGGGAGGTGCCTGAGGGCGAGCTGGAGCCCTTCCTGCGCGCGCTGCCCCAGGGCGCGGTTACGGTTCTCAGGGCTGGCGAAATCGGGTTACCAGAGGGCGCGGGGCCTGCTGCTGTGGCGACGAACATGGCGGCCTCGTTTATGGAGCAGCAGGTGAGCGCTGGGGGGGTGACTAGGAGGCTGGGCACTGGTAGGGCATCGCATGGGATGGCATGCAGGGAATATTGTGGAAGGCATGGTACTGCATGGCATGTGCAACAGTTTGTGTTCTGCTTCATGCCTGGTGTACCGTTTCCCGCATTTAAAACAGCATTGGCATTCATGCCCCGCTGCCTTGCAGCTTGCAGCTTCGCAGTACATTCTCCCATGAACCGCATCTGTCTGTGCCTGTTGTGCCCATGCGCCCATTTGATGGCAGCAGCAGGTGGAGGTGCTATTCGTGCTGTGTGCGCTGTGTGGGGGCAAGCGCAAGGAGACAGTACAGGACCAGCTGGCGGCGCTGGGGCTGGTGGCCATCCTCGTGGACTCGTTTGACCGCCTCAACTGGTCCGCTCCCCTGCCACCCCCCGCTGAGCCGCACGGCATCCACGGGCCCGGCTGCTCCTGCAACCCCGAGTCGGTCAGTGCCTCTCCTCTCCTCTCCTCGCACCTCCTGCTCCCATCCTCTCGCTGCCAGTACTTTCCCCTTATTACATCTCCTGTGATGTTTTTATGCCTCCCCGCATCTACTGGCGCTTCATCTCATCGCTTGGTCTCATTCCTAGTTTCTATTGCTCTGACCTCCCAACGCCTCTTCTCACCGCATTCTACCCCTCTCCACCGCTCTGCACCCCTTGCAGGCCCTGAAGATCCAGTACCTGCGTCTGATCCACAACTTCTGCGACCGAGACGGCCCCAACCTGCACAACAAGCTGCTCCTCGCCTCGCCCGGTGGTGTACCTCCGCCCCTCGCTGCTGCTGCTGCTGCTACACCACCCAGGATCTCTGGGTCTGGTCTCGCTGCAAGTGCTATCGCCCCTGGGAGTATGACAGCTGGTGATGGTGCCGGTGCTGGTGGTGGTGGGGCGAGCATCAGTAGTTTCGGCAGTGGTGGCAGTAGCAGTTCCAGCGGCAGTAATGGGAGTTTGCAGGGGAGGGCGCAGGGAAGCACACAGCGAAACGCACTCGGACAGGGACAAGGAGAGGGAGAGGGAGAGGAGCGAGGGTATGCGCTGGGGTTTGGGGCGAGCTTAGGGTGGGCGCTAGGTTTCTCTCCGAACCAATGGCTACCAGCGTTGGGGATAAGAGACGGCGTGGGTGACTCTGACTCTGGTGTGTTGTCCCAGGGCATGGGAGTGGGTGCCAGCAGGGGAGAAGGAAGCAGTGCACAAGCAGCAGCAGGAGTAACAGATGCAGTAGCAGCAGGAGCAGGTGCGGTGGAGGAGGGTGGAGGCGGCGAGGAGGCAAGGAGCGAGGCGCTGATGCTGAAGATCATCCGAGTGCTCATGAAGGAGTCGGCCGACTCCGTGTACCGCTTCTGGCTCGCCTCCTGTGTCGAGGCCTTCCTGCGAGGCTCCAACCCGCGCGACCAGCACCTGGTGGCGGCCACGGGCCTCATGGAGCACCTCGTGGAGGAGATTCTCCGAGGGGCGTCGGGCTTTAAGTGTGCGGCGTCGCTGCAGATCGACTTTGACCTGCTGGGCGAGCTCGTCAAGTTCAACCCGGTGTTGTTCCGTCGCCTGGCGGCGCTGGTGCAGGGCGAGCGGTTCAGCCGGTTCATAGAGGTGCTGGTGGCGCACCTGGTGGACTCCAACGTCTTCATCCGCTCCGTCATGCTCTCCCTCCACGCCTTCCGCACCGGCCTCCCCACGCCGCCCTACCTCGGACCCTGCCCCACGCCCGCGCTCCCTCCTCCTGTGCTGTCCCCCGCCCTCCCTTCCACGTCCGCTGCTCCCTCTGCTGGTTCCTCGTTAGTTGCGTCCTCCTCCAAGCCCCCCTCCTCAAGCCCTGCGCCCGCCCTGCAGTCATCTTCAGCTGGGGAAGAGGAGGCAAGGAAGGAATCTGGACTTGCTGATGGTGGTGGTGATGCTGATGCTGGTGATGGCAGGAGTGGTGGTGATGATGATGGTGGCGATGCCAACAGCAGCTCAGGCGAGGTCGCGAACACAAGGGGCAGGGAGAGGGAAGAAGAGTCGGCTTTCAGAGTCAGTGAAGGGTCAGCAGCAGCACAGGCAGCAGTAGACAGGAAGGGGAAGAAGAAGGTGGAGGAAAGGGGAAGGAGCGTGGGAAGAGGGAGTTTGTGGGAGGCAAAGGGGAAGGCGAAGGGGAAGGGGGTGATGGGGGAGGGGTCAGCGGTGGTGGGGGAGGAGGAGGAGGAGCTGGCGTCGCCCCTGGCAGCATTCATGGAGTGCAACTCGGTGCTGCTGCTGCGCGACCTCATGCTCGTCGTGCGCCTAGGGGACATCAACCAGGTGAGCTCATGGGGAAAAGGGGGGGGGGGGTTGGGTGGAGGACGGGATGTGGGGCGGGATGTTGGGTGAGAGGGGTGTGTTGGGTGCATCACGGACTGTCTTTGTGTGTTGTATGCTGCTGGGTTGTGTCGTGGTGGTGGTTGTATGGTGCTGACGAGGGGGTATCAAGTAGTGGAAGTTCACAATAGAAACACTTGTCTCCATTTCATCCGCATCTTTTTTGAAACATCCTGTATCCCACTCTCATCCTGTCTCCCACTCTCATCCTGTCTCCCACTCTCATCCTGTCTCCCACTCTCATCCCGCGTCCTCATTATCCTCCTCTCGCCTCGGGACAGCCTCTGTGTGCACCACTCTGACTTGTTCTAATCCCCAAACTCCCTTCCCACCCTTGCCCCACCCTCCCTCCCCTCCCCCCCTCCATGCAGGACAACATATGTGTGCTCAACACGGCGCTCATCTTCTTCATCTTCGCCAATCGCAACGCCCAGCTCCTTTCTCTGCTAGCTGCCCTCCGAGCCGCCGACAAGGCTCAACCCGCATCCCTTGCTGCTTCCACCACCCTCCTCCAACCCTCCTCCCCTTCCTCTCCTGCTCACCCATCCTCCCCTTCCTCCTCCTCGCCTTCCTCCTCACCCTCCTCACACTCACCCTCTTTCCTCTCCAAGCCTCCGTCGCCTGCTCTCCTGAACCCCTCTCTGCTGCCTGACCCCGTTTCTTCCACTTCTGATGATCCGTCCTCCGGGGTTGGCCCGGGCAGCGTGATGAAAAACTTTCGGGCGCTGCTGGACTTTTGGCGGGAGTATTATTTGAGGAAGAGGGGCAGGGACTGTGCCAGCCTGCAGTTCTCCACCAACATTCCCTTCACCGAGTGGCTCCGAGTGGTCGAGATGCTTTGCGCACCGCCCGACTGCCCGACATCGCTTTTGTACTCCCCGCCACTGCCAGCTAGTGGCTCGCAGTGCTCCTCTGTTGGCCTCAGGGTTGACCCCCCTCCCCGACGATGCTGACTTGATTTCTACCCCTTGTGTCATTGATGGTCGTATACTGTGATATGCATTAGTCGCGTTCTCTGTTCACATATCATAAGGTTCAAATTATATAAATGAGAATGCTGAGGAAGCCTTTATTTGTAGACCAGAAACAGCTGTCAATTGTTTCTGGCTCTCATAGCTCAGTTGGTTAGAGCACCCGTTTAGTAAGCGGGAGGTCTTGAGTTCGACTCTCAATGAGAGCATTAAAATTGGGTTTTGGTTATGCTAGCTACATGGAGACGGCCAACATTTCCTAGGCCTGGGTCCAAGAACCAAGGGTTCACCTTTTAGATGGATGTTTTGCAGAAAAAACCGTGCTCTAGTTTGAATCACAAAATTTGCAGCACTTACACACCAGAGCAGAGCAATGATCCATGCATGCAATACCTGAAGGGTGTGTCACACCCTCCATGATATGTCCTCCACACCCTCCGTTCTAACAGGGGCCTCTAAATTGAAAAGAGAAGCCCGTACATTGTAACCAATCCTAACTAAAACCTTCATGTCTCTAACATCCGATGAAGCAGGGGGCTGGTGAAGCATCTTTCATTTAAAGAAATAAAATCCTCGCTATGCCGCGACTGCCTTGGCGCCACCACAGGCAGAGGAAACTGCTGAGTGTAGTATCCATTCTTCAACCACATTGGTGTTACAGCCCTTGCAGGGTCGGATGAGTTTCTCTGAATCAGAGGCGGCGCGTTGCGTTCGCCCCCGCTCGTTGTCCCCACAGGACTAACGCGCATGACCGCGCGCCGGACGATTCGCGTGTCGCTCATGAACACGTCGCAGCTCACGTCCACCCACTCTCCCCCTTGAGAATACCCGCTCGCCTTCGAAAGATTATCACCCAAGCCGCCATGGCTCGCGATATTCGTGTCGCTCAATTCGAATCGCACCGAAGTGTTCGCAGCAGCTGTGCCTGAAGGTTTGATGCGGGGGCTTTTGGGGATGATAGGGCACGGAGAGCGCGGAGTTCTGGGGCTCACGCGCGTGTGTTCAGCGCGGAATCCGACGGGTGAGGTTTGATCGGAACAGCTGTTGCTGCGCCGCCCGATTGGCAGCTTGAAACGCACCAGCTTGCCCATCAGAGTCCGTTTCGCGCTGGCCGTCGGGGACGACGACTTGACGGGTTCCGTGGAGGGCGTGGGAGGAACTTCGCCGTCGTCTTCCAGCGTTTCTAACTGCAAACACCACACGTCGTGGGAGACAGGGGGGGGAGAGTAAGTGGGCCACTCTTCAACAAACGTGAATCTTAGCTGCAGGAGCAGATATATGTTCTTTTGCTGCTTACCTCGGCCAGAATTGGATTTATGCGATTGCCCCTGATGATGCCGTCGCTGACGTCATGCCGACGTGGCTCGGGATCCGCAGCGTCCCAGCTGGAAGTCCTCCTCTCCGCCACATGTTCCCACCGCGCGCGATTCCGCTCGAGGTTCAGCGCGGAGGCGGACCGCGCCATTTTAATCTCCTCTCCAGGCGCACTAAACGAGTCAAGAGCCTCCTTGTGACATGCCCCCGTGTCGTGCGCGGGGTATGCCGCCGTGAATGGCGCGCATTGGAGATCCAGATCCTGCGCCGAGACGACTCTCGCGGAAGGAACCTCCGCCGCCGCCGCCGCCGCCGCGGGCGGGGAGACTCGGCGGAGGTAGTAGGTGGCATTGAGGTTAAGGACCCGTTGCTGCTGGAGCACGGGGCCCGTCGACGCGCACGACAGCGCGTGGCGCGGGTAGTCGCACAGCACGTCGCACACGGTCAGGCGAGGCGTGTCGTACAGTCGTACGGAGCCGTCGGGTAACACAACGAGGACAGTGGGGACGTTGAGGCAGTCGGCGTCGGGGATGAGGGATGCCGGCGCGCGGAGAGGAGAGTCCGCGCTTGTCGTGCGAACCAGCGGCACTGCCATGGCTGCTGCTGAGGGCTCTCAACGTAATCTTGCCGCTCTATGATTCACTGGGGTCGAAAACAATTGGTTGGGGAAAAGAGAATTACCCCGGATCAATCTGGGGGCACAGACTCGTGAATGGCCGTTAGATAAACTTATGGAGTTCGACGTCTTCGATTTGAAGTTGCACTGGTGGGAGGGACGCACCATCATCGCACTGTGGCTTGAGAATAGAGGCATACTACAACGCTCTTGCATAGAATCACCGAGAGGCGTTTCGAGAAGAGTGACGGACAGAGCGGCGATGCGGTGAGATTGACGATGACCGAGCTGGAACCGATGGAGAAATTGATGTAAAATCTGGTGATTAGATTCAGCCACCACCAGGACCATCAGTGACAGAATCGTGAGCGGCGACATGGAGGGCGAGATGAAATATCGCACCAAAAAAGACATGAAGCGCGATTGGCGGACAGGTGGCTGCGGAGAGTGAGGACTTGCGAATTCCTAGAATCACGAGGAACAGAACTTGTGCAGCGAAGAGCATCGAAAGAAGGGAGATTCTGTCGCAGAAGCACCACCAATTTCGTACATGCGGCCGCCCAATGAACCGGAGTCCCTGCTTTTGCCAGTATGCTCGGCTGTGCGACAGCTGTGACTTACCTGGGAAAATAAAAATTCGCGCACGCGAAGCGCTCGCACCTGGTAACAGAAAGAGATCTCGTCGATGACGCTGGCGACAGAAAGAGATCTCGTCGATGACGTGTCCACTCAAGGATTCACCTCTTTTGCGATGATTCTATTGGTCACACCCTTGCACGGTTGGTGTGACAAAGCTGGAGACAGGGCTCCTGCATCTAGCCGAAAAAGGGTGAAGTTCACGAAGGCGGTGTTCGCCAGCACTTTTCTAAGCAAAAACGAGGGGATGACGACGGGATAAGGAAGGTAAGTCTCGCCTTCCTGATCCCGTCAGTTAGGGTTCGTTAACCTCCGTCAGCCTGGTCAGCCCGTAAAAATTCTGCCGAGCCTCTCATGCCGTCCGAACCTCTTAGAAAAGTGAGGGCGTGGCGAACGCCTCCAATTTTCACCCATTTTGAAATGCTTGACCGCATATGGAAACGGGGTCGCAGTTTCCTATCCTGGCAAAAACCATCCCCCAGCGATGCCATCTCCATTCACCTATCCACGGTGAATGGCGATGGCGTGGCTGTGGCATTGCACGTCAGAGATGAACTGCGGAAGGGGGGCTGGGGGTTCCATATGCGGTTGCGAAATTTCCTGTTTTGGGAGTTGAAGTTTCGCGGACCGCATAACGCCCAGACCTCTTGGGGGGGGTTTCGAACCCGGTTCCGGATGCGGTCATGATGCCGATGCCGCCAAACTGCCGTCGGTTTTCAAAGTTCCTGGCGAACACCGCCGAAGTGAGGTACACACGATGCCCGGTTGAGCCCACCGACCTTGCCCTACCCTCTGGGCTTATAAGTGATTCATGCATTTCGTGGAGGTTTCGTCAATTCGCATCGGGCAAAAAGGGCTTATAACAAAATTTTGTAACTCACCGTTGACTGTTTGACTTCGGTCTCTTCAGTTTCTGTGGTTCGTATTGGTTGACGTGCTTGTAACGTGGGTGCAACTGCCCAGCAAAAAACCCAAGCGTGCAAGGTTTCTTGAATGTGCAAGGCAATTTCGCGTGCAGGGGTTGGGCATCATGTGTAACACCAGGTTGTTGCTCGTTAACGGGTTACTTTTCCTTTCATATGATGTACATCATTCTTGCAGATCCTTCAACAGCTTCAAACACAGTCGCAGGTGGCTCCCCTGTTTGACCACATCACCTGTGCCTTGTAACGACGCCTCCGCTACTTTCACAAGCTCGTTCTTAGCGGTCTCGTTTGTTGACTTCCCGCCATTCATGACCACAACGTTTGAGCTCTGCACAGTGGCACTCAGCTGTTGATATGACGTGGAAGCAACTGACTGGATGGCCTGAGACAGAAACGTGGTGATATCATCCTTGTGCGCGCGACCAAGAGATACTGCTGCCTCAGCTGCCTTTCTCACCAAGGATGGCCTGGAATCGCTGCTGCTGCTGCTGCTGCTGCTGCTGCTGTGGCTGCTGCTGCTGTGGCTGCTGCTGCCACTCCAGAAAGCATGCGTTAATTCTTTTTCCCCACATCCCCCTTCTGCCAGCACTGCCATGAGCACGACTATGACGTCACATGCCACTGATCGCAGTGCCACTCCGCCGCCCTCCCTCCACCTGTCAGATTGCGCCACCTCTGCAATCCATGTCAGCACTGCCATTCGCACTCGCTCTCTCGCTGAAGGTGCCACACCTGAAATTGCTGATGAGGCAGTGTTGCGAGTGCTAGTGGATGCTGACGTGGACTGGGAAAGACTTGGGGATGGCGATGCAGCCATTATGGGAGAGTGAGAGAGTGGGTGTGAGGAGGAGGGTGAAAGCGAGTGTGGAAGAGAGGGTGAGGGGAATGGCGTGTGTGGTTGGTGTTGGGTGGGGGATTTGGGAGCAAGGAGGAGATCCGACCGGGACATGGGACGCAGGCGGCTCGTCCGAGTTGGTTCGGTTGCCGAACCTGACGCACTAGGGAAGAGGCGGGAAAAAGCAGCTTTGGCAGCAGGGGAAACCAGAGAGCTAGACAGAGTGGGGGCTGCCCTTGCTGCTGCTGACGTGGCTGGTCCTACTGCTGATGTGGACGTTTGTAGGAATCCACTTTCAGAGCCGCTTGATGCTGCAGGTTTGGTAGCGAGGCTCGGCAATGCCACCGAACCAGAGTCTGGTACTGGCCTGAGGGTAAGTAGCCTGGTGAGATCCACGGGACTTGGATTGGTGAGGCGCCGAGAGGAAATGGAGGAGAGGAAAGGGGAAGGGAGAGAGGAATGAGAGGAGGAGGGAGAGGAGTGGGAGGAGGAGGGAAGAGAGGGACCCTGGAGGAGCAGGGCGGCCATGAGAGGCCAGGAATCTTCCCGGATCTTTCTGGCCATGAAGGCATCGTCACACGTGGTGGAGAGGGCTGTGATGACGTGGACGGACGAGATGATGAGCTGGCAAAGAAAGGAGGGAGAGGGGAATGGTGAGGAGGAGAATGAGAGGCTGAAAAGCATGAATTGCGTGTCGATGCAAAGTACTTATCTCCGCGACTGATAATTAGAAAGGGGCCAGGGGGGAACAACAGGAAACGGGAGGCAAGAGCACAGCAACATCACACACCAAGCAGAGAGGGTCAGACAGAAAATATCAACCTTCACAACGATCGGCACCGTTCCTGACTTCTTGAGACTGTTTTGGACTGCTAAGTACTCACAGCAGGATGGCTTCTCTTGAGGCCAGAGACAGCGTGGGGCCAGATCATGTGCACACGTGGCAACAGCCAATTGGTCTCGTCCCTCGCAGCATCCGCCACCTTGAGTGCATCCTCCGTGTCATGCATGGCTGCCACGTCATCCTGGAGAGATGCCAGGTCAACACGTAGCCCTGCCACATCATCCTCCAACCAGTCCAGCAAACCGCTCCCCGGACCTCCACCCAAACCTGCCCCCGAACCTATGGCCGGATCTGTGCTCAAGCCTGAGTCCTGCAGGGCAGTGAGGTGCGTCTTGGCTCGTTTCACTCTCAACCGAACCACCTCCCGCACTGCTTCAAGCTCATTGGCCCTCGCACGCTGCGCCACATCAGCTGCTGACATGGCGGCCACCGACGCCTGCGCCACGTCAGCAGCGAGCAGCGCCAGCTCAGCATCCCGGCTGGCCATGAGCGGCCCACAGGCCTCCAGGCAGGCAGCAGCCAGCTGTGCTTGCATGGCCACCGCCCTCGTGCGATCCGACAGCTGAACCAGTGCATGCCTCACGCTCCACTGTGCCCCCTTCTCCCTGCCATCACTCCTGCTCCCCACCTCAGCAGCATTCCTCCCTTCCCTTCCCTCCTCGTTGCCATCTCCCTCGGACCCTGTATCGGACCCTAAGTTGTCCCACTCCTCATCACTCGAATTCCCCTCCCCTTCCCCCTCTTGCACCTTCAACATCTCCTCCTCCTCCTCCTCCCTCTCCGTTGCCTCCGTCCCGCTCAGAGTCCCCTCATCACGCGCGGCAGCAGCAGCAGCGCGCATGCGGCGGGTGAAGAAGGCTCGCACAGCTGCTGGTGGGGCGGGCAAGAGTTAAATGTTTTTTATCATTCTAAACAGGAGCTGGGAGCGGTGGTGAGCAACAGGACAGGGAAACAGTGCAGGAAGGTCTAAGATTCAAATTGATGGGGCATTGAAGGGGGGTGAAGGGCTTGCTGCACACCTGGATCAGCTGATGACTTTGCGTCCCTCGCACTGCCACTGTCTGCGCCACCACTGCTGCTGTCACCACCACAGAAGCTGCTGCTGCTGCTGCCTGTGCCTTGAGCAGCAACCCGGGGTCCACTGCTGGCAGGAGAGGACGCGAGGCCAGCAGCTTCAGAATCAGGGCTGCCACGCCTTCTCTGCGGGTTGGGCTGATCAGAAAAAGGGCTCAGAAGGTGAGGTCTGCCCCTCCCCGCCTCACCACCACATCCCTCCTTGGCTCGCCGCAGCTTCCGAAGCTGCTTGCGTCGGGCCCGTTCCTCCCTCCGGAGCACCGCTATTGCTGCCGAAGCTGCAGCTTCGGCGTCAGCACGCTTTGCTGATGAGGCAACAGCACATGCTGACATCAGCACACGGAGCACCTGAACGAGTGTGACTATGTGGGGGGCGTGCTGCAAACGAGCTGTGATTTGCAATGAGGCCAGGACAGAGCGAATCTGTGGGGAAAGGAAGAAGGATGCGGGAAGGAGCGGAGAGGGGAGGGAAGGGGGTACGGGGAATTGGGAAGGGGGAAGGGGTAAGGTGGAAGGGGGATGGGAGATGGGGTTGAAGGGAAAGCCGTAACAGCACTTATGAGCAGTTAATGAGACCTCACTCACAGCACTAGACTGGTACCACAAGACATAAACGAAACATCACGAGATGTAATGTTCATTACATTATGTTAACTCATAGGCAGCAGCAGGTAGGAGTGATGGCAATGTTTCAGAAAGTGAGTCATGAACAGCACGGTTACCGGGTGGATGATGAGAGGCAGCATGCTCTCAAACGCCCATGGCAACACCGACGCCGCTGTCGCTACCGCTGGCACCGCTGACGCTGCTGCTGCATGCTCCACAGGCAGTGCAGGGGCGGCAGGCACCACAGGGGCGGCAGGGGTGGCAGGGGTGGCAGGGGCGGCAGGCACCACAGGGGTGGCAGGGGTGGCAGGGGCGACAGGCACCACAGGGGTGGCAGGGGTGGCAGGGGCGACAGGCACCACAGGGGTGGCAGGGGTGGCAGGGGTGGCGGGCACGAGGGGCAGGAGGTGCATGAGGGCGAGCAGGAGGCGGGGTGCAGAGGGGTGGCAGTGCAGGGTGGAGAGGCCAGCGCACACGGTGGCGATAGCATAGTCCATGTTGGCCGCTACCAACGCTGCCACCTGCATGGGACGAGGGCGATGGAAGAGGAGACACACACAGCGACAGGCATGAGAACATAGTTTTGAGGCGCCTCAAAACAGGCACATGGCACCACAGCATGGTGATGGTGTGGGTTGCAGCAGTGGCAACGACAAGGGGGTGAAGGGAAGGAGAAACGGACGTGTAAGGGAGAAGAGAGGTAGTAAGTGACGTACCGATGGGTACCCGAATGAACGGCTGATGAAGGCGAGGGCATGTGCAGCAGCGGAGGAGACACGGGCGTGGGGAGAGGCCAGCGAGCGCAGCAGCGGAGGGAAGGCGCGGCGCAGCGCACCGGAGTCTGTGGCACGTGATTGGCCGAGAGCTGAGAGAGCTGGTGCGAGGGAGAGGAGGAGTGCCTGTTGGGAGGAGGGGAGACGAGAAAGATAAAGAGTAATGGGGTAGATGAAAACAGAAAGATGCACACAGGAGGATACCCGAGCCATGCAATTCCTTTTCCGAAATCTCTGCTCCCCACTCACCGCTTGCAGGTTGGCGCTCTCATTGAGCCTGCGCATCATCCCCCTGCGCTCCTCCTCACCCATCCACTCGCCCCCAGCACCGCTCTGAACCGGTCTCCCTCCCCCTTGCGCGACATCCACAGGCAGCTCCCACAGGTCCTCGTTCAGCAACTCCCCCAACACTGACAGCACAACCGGACCAATCACCGCATGCCATCTGTCCTCCCTGTGCGCCAGTGCGATGAGCTGCTGATCTCTATGCTCCTCTTCCTCCCTCCGCTCCTCCACCGGCACTGCTCCACTTCCCACCTCCACCTCCTCGCCCCCGTGAGGGGGATGCCACGGCCCGCCACTGATGCCAGCAAGGGCTTCGCTCACAGCCAACAGAAACGATGAAGCTGCCCGAGCAGCAGAAACCTGACCTAAAAGGTCCCGCTCTCCCTCCTTCGTTCCCTCTACCTCCCTCCTTTCCGCCCCCTGCTTCTCCCCATCCGACTTTCCGTCTTTCCTCCTCCCCTTCAACTTCCTTCGCACCCCCTCCTCCTTCCCTTGCCCCTTGCCGGCCTGTCCCCTCTTCCCTCCCTCAACCCCTTTCCTCATCCCCTCCACATCCACCCTTTCCTTCTTCAACGCCCGGGCTCGCCTCCTCTCCCTCCTCTCCCTCCGCCTCTCCTCCCCGATCCTCCCCACAGCCTCTCGTAGTCCTTCCAGGAGTGGCTGGAAAAGGGCGGGAAGGGCCCCCATTGGCTGCTGCCGTGCCGTCAGCGCACCACCAACACCACCAGTACGAGCTGCATCATGGGCATCAGCAGCAGCAGCAAGGCGAGCGAGCACTCGCAGGAAGCGGCAAAACCAGAGGAGTGGAGGGGCGGTGGCATCAACAGCTAGCGCCCCTTGCAGCACTTGCGCTACTGAGTGGTCCAACACTCCACTGTGGTCAGACGACCCCTTGAGGTTGTGCCGCCCCTCGTGATGTTCCAATACCTTCCAGAACCACTGCCTCCATTGCTCTGCCTCTCTCCCCTCTCCAATAGCTGCAGAGCGCAGCGCTGATGGAACACCTGGGCTGGGCGGCACAACACCTGGGGATTCACCTGATGCAACAGCTGAGCCGAGCAGTGGTGGAAGGGCGAGGGCAGGAGCAGGGGAGGACTCGAGCGTGTGGGGGCTGCCAGGCGCGAAGGGCAGATGCAGAGAGATGGCCGTGGAGAGACGTGCAGAGAAGGCCTGGCGTGGTGGGAGAGAGGAGGAGAGGGGATGGGATGGGATGGGACGGGATGGGATGGGATGGGATGGGATGGGATGGGAGAGGTGTAGGCCGGAGAAGATGACGGGAAGATGATACGGGTGCACAAAAGGACACGGCTATTGTGAAATGTGTGGTGAAGGACTGACGTGGGTGAGAGAAAAGGGAACGGGAGGGGTGCGGGTGGCATCACAGGTGGGAGGAGTGTCGGTGACAAGGGAGGTGGGGTGAGGCTAAGGGAAATCACTACCGAGGTTAGCCAACTGAATGGAGTGGAAGGTGAAGGGAACAATGGGGAAGACTGGGAGGAATGAGAAGGATTGAAGTGATTGGAACATGAGGCGAAGTTGAAGGAAGACGAGTATCTTTTTTGAAAATCCAAAAAAAACCTACGCTGCAACATGAGGCGAAGTTGAAGGAAGACGAGTATCAACAGATGCCAGGGAGGAAAGAGGTTGTGCAGGAGCTGGTTGATAGGTCCAAGAAAGTGCTTGGGCTGGACACGGGGTCTACTTTGGGGGGCACGTCACAAGTGGAGGTAGAGGGGAAGGCATGCAAGAGGCTCACAGGGTCGAGGATGTGGTGTGCAGTAGACCAAGGCCCTGCTGTGATGACGCCTGCTGAGAGCACGCGGAGAGAGGCCGTGGTGCCGTGAAGAGGAGAGGCGGTGGATGGGGAGGAGATGGAGGAGGAGAGGTTGGCCGATGGAAGAATGGAGGAGTGCAGCGGCAGGGAGGAGGGAACGGAGTGAGCGGTGGGCGGGGCGGGAGTTGCGAGGGACGTCATGTGCCTGTTGTGGTGTTGAGGGACGTCATGTGCAGGGAAGGTGGGTGAGACAGGATGGAGGAACCTGTTTTTGAGTCGACTCAAAAACTGTTGTGGTGTGGGTGCAGGGAAGGTGGGTGAGGCAGGATGGAGGAACACGTCGCGGTTCAGTTCAGCCAACTTAAGGGTGAGAGGTGTGTGCGTACGTGTGCGCGCGCATGTATGTGCATGCGAGAGAGTGCACAACAAATTGCACACTCCTTGTGCTGCAGACGATACAACACGCTCTAGTGGTGGGCAGCAGACGCACCTGTCCAGCATCTCCTCCAGCGAGTCACTAGCCACCTCAATGCACCCTGCTTCCATGCACTGCTCAAGCCCTGCCCCAGCCGCTGCAGTTGCGGCCACTGGTAGTAGTGATGATGGGCGTGCGAATGGCAGAGCTGGTGTGGAGTGGGTGATGACGACACGAGCGAGGAGGCGGCGAGCAGAGCAGGCGACGGCGGGCCATTCGTCAGAGGCGAGGAGGAGGAGGCACTCCTGCAGGCGAGCAAACAACGCAAAGGTTTTCAATGGTGAACGCGAAAGGTGTAGTGGGAAGGGCAATGATAGGGGGCAATGAGGGGAAATTGGTGCAACTGGTGCATGTTCTCCCTCCCTCGGGCGAGCAGAGGATGTTCTCCCTCCCTCGGGCGAGCAGAGGATGTGCGCGAGAGGCATTCGTCACAAGCACGGACGGAGGAGGAGAAGCGAGTGCAAAGAGGGGTGTGCGGCGATGCATGTGATGCCGGGTCAGAGTTGCTCCCACACATACCGCAACCAGATGGATAGGCACAGGGCACAGTAACCCCGGGGACTCACGAGCTGCAGAGGGCGCGAGGCGGAGAGGGAGCAGGCGCAGTGTTGCAGCAGCTCCCCCAGCATCTCTGTGAGAGCACAGCGGACCTTGGGGGCAGGGAAGTGCAGCATCTGGTGGGGGTGGGAGGAGGAAGGTGAAGTGAGCAGCGGTACAGTACAGGGGACGAGAGGAGGGCAGCAGCAGAATCGTGCAATCACTGTTGAGTTGACTCACAAGCCACCGCAACAGCTGGGGGAGACGACATGAACATTCTTACATGAGTGGGCTGTGGCATGCAGCAGCACGGTGTGTTCAGGTCTCACCTTGGGAAGAACTTTCTGCAGCAGCACGAGCACCTTGGTCCCTGTCTCCCTGCGCCATGCCTCGTCCCTCTCCACCCGCAGCACCACCGTCCCTCTCCCCGCCCCTCCTCCTGCCCCCCTTGCCCCGCCGTCTCCTCCCCTCCCTCCCTTCCCTGCACCTCCTGCCCCCGCACGCCCCACATGTGCCAGTGGGGTATTCCTCTCTTCTTCGCACCGCCTCCTCACACTCACTTCCCTCAGTATCACCGCGCCTTCCCTCGTCCCTGCTGTGCCGCTTGCCTTTTCTCCTTGCAGCGCCCCTTCTGACCCCACCCCCTGCTCTCCCAACCAGTCTTCCTCTCCTTCCCCTCCCTTCCTCCCCTCCCCTCTCCGCCCCTCCATGCGACCCACCATCTGCTGCAGCATGCTCAAAGCCCTCTCCTCCTCTGTCGCCCCTCTCTCACTCCCCTCCTCATTCTCCTCTCCTTTATCCTCGTCATGTCCATCTGCGCTATAAGCATCCCCCATGACCAGCACTAGCGCCTGTGACAGCCCAAGCAGTGCCTCGGCCACTGCTGAGGGGTCCGCTGCGGCGCCACGTGTGAGCGGCTCATTGGAGCGCGGGGAGAAGGGGGAGAGGGTGGCGCGCGACAGCCCACTGAGGATCCCGGGAAGGAAAAAGGCAAGCGCGTCGGGTGTGTGCGCCTGAAGAGTATGACGGGCATGCAGGATCAGACGGAATGGGGTGCGGAAAAGGGCAGGGAGCAGTACACAAGAGCAGATAAGAGAGGGTGAGAAGTCAGGTGTGTGTGCGTGAGGGTGGGAGAAGAGGGGCGCAGGAACATGGAAGTGACTGGAGACAGTGGCATTGATCCAGCTGCTAGCACAGCCAGGAACCATGTGCATGCCCTGCCACACGCAATGCAACCATGCACGCATGCAGCCGAGCGGAATGCAATGCTCCACGGCTCACCACATCCACGAGCAGGCGCACGGCTCGCAGTGCCTCCACTCGCACCTGCTGGCTGTCCCTTGTGCCCAACCGAGCCTCCGCCTCTGCTGCCTGTGTGGCCGGGCATGTGGGGAGGGGGAAGAGGGGACATGCGCATGCACAATCAGCAGGCACGTTGGTAGCATCAGCTGTTGGAGCCGACAGCCAGGTGGAGGCGATACAAGCAAGCGCCTTCCAATTCAAACATTGAACAGCCAAGTTCTTGCTTAGAAAGGGTACGTGGTGGTTGCACTAATGAAATCAGCATCTGTCGCACAGTGACAGAGCAGCATGCGTGGTGCACTCACAGAGAGCATGTTGGAGAGCAGGTGACCCAGCAGCGGTGCTGCCTCCTGCGCCTGCAGCACACCAGCCACACACTTGCTGCTTGCACCGCTACCACTGCTATTGCTGGTAGTACTGGTGCTTTGGCCGCTTGTAGCAGCAGCGCAGCAGCAGGAGGAGGGTGAGCAGCGAGGGAGGTGGGAGAGGAGGGCAGAGAGGCAGCGCACTGCCAGCAGGCGAGCCTCCTCTGACTGTGCAATGCCAGAAATGCTTTCAAGGGGTGTTGGCGCTGACGGTGGTGGGTGTGCCGCTGATGGAATCACTGCTCCGGATGATGCGCTGAGAGCAGGGCGATCAGTGACGCTTGAGCCAGTGCTTGAGGTGTGAGGTGGTAGGCGAGAGGGGGTGGTGGCGGATGCGAGTAAGCGGAGGAGGGAGGCAGCCTGGCCGTGCGATCGCACGGCGCAGCGGATCAGTGCCACGTGCATGCACCTGAGGGCTGCCTCCACCACTCGCTGCCTGCCACGTGGCGCAATTCCAGCCGCACGCTCGTTCTCTGTCCCGCTGCCACGCCCCTCGCATTGCGCGGGTGAAGCAGACAATTTGGAAGCAGCAGCAGTGGAACTCATGGGAGCGAGGGAGGCGGGGGCGGAGGGCGGAATGGAGGAGGTGGGGGTGGGTGGGGACAGCACGAGCAAGAGCGGGAAGAGGAGAAACCTGGTGACGGGCAGGGAGAGAAGCGGGGGGGAAGAAACCAGGAAGAAGGGAGGGGAGGGGTGGTGTTAGTGGAAAGCGTGATGGGGGTGAAGGGTGCTCAGCTGGCATGGCGAGGGAGGGAAGGAAACGGATGCGACATGGGATGGTACGTGGCTCTGCATATGCAAGGTCATTCTTTTTTCCTTTTACGTGCCAAGAGCCACAAGCCAGCAATCCACTAGCTCGGGCACATCACTCACTCGAGGCATGCTTGAAGCCCCCCCACAGGCACGTCCTTGCTCCCAATCGCCTCCTCCAATCGCTTGATGACACGTGGCAGCTGCTGGTAATCCCCCCGCGCGTCCACCACAGCCATGCAGAGCGGATGCACACGGGCAAACACTGCTTGCGCCTCGTCCGTGGGGGATGCAGCAGGTGTGGCGTGTGAGGCTTGTGGCGCATGAGAGGGCGGTGCAACAGCTGCATCCACACCAGCAGCAGCACCTGCAGCAGCACCAACACCACCATCAGCACCACCACCGCCACCAACGTTGCTGTGGATACTACCAGGACTGCCCCCACTAACAGGCTTAGCAAGACCACCGTCTCCTTCCTTCCACGTTTCCTCCACTACACTACCCTTCTCCTTCCCTTCCCTGTCCCCCCCGCCCAGCAGAAACCCCCGTTTGAAACCCCCGCCTCTCAGCCTGCCCTTGGCACCACCACGTGGGCCCAGCTGTGCCTTCCCCCGTTGCACCCTCCCCTGCTCCACTCCCTGAGCCCCCACCGCCCCTCCACTCTTCTGCATACCACCACCCAGCACTGCCCTTGGTGCTGCCTCACACAGTGCTGGAAACGCAGCTTCAGGTGGTGCAGCAGGTGACTCGGCATAGTCACGGGCATGAGCAAGGGGCCTTGTGTGAGCGCCTTCCCCACGTGCGGGTTGAGGCCTCTCACGAGCGCCAGAGCCTGTGGCAAAGGAGCACGCGCCTTCGAATGAGAAGTCACAGCGGGTGCTCTTGCTACTAATGCTGGTGCCAGTGGTAACAATACTACCACTGCAAGCGCTGCGGGTGATGGCACTGGTAGCTCTGCCCTGCTCTGGTCCCTCACGTGCACTCCACACAAACCCCTCCTCCAACGCCACTCCCTGCAGCTCCTGCAACCCCGTCAACCCCTGCACCCCCTCCATCCCCTTTAGCTCCTCCTGCAGCCCCGCCACCTCATCAAAGAACGTCCTCCCTTCCACCTCCCCTCCTCCCCTCGCACTATCTCCCTCCTCCCTTGCCCCTCTCCTCTCCCCATCTCCCGTTTCGCCCGTGATGCCCCCTTGCGTCCACTCAGATTCCTCATCCCTGGCCTCTCTATCCCCGCCTCGACCCCATCGCGCCACCAGCTCTCTCTCCAGCTCCTTCACCGCATGAAAGAACGTCCCACCCCCATCGTCCCTTTCCGAACCTCCCATACCTTTGCTCCCTAACTCTCTGATCAGGCTTCCACAATCGAGGTCGTTTTTGAGGCGCCTCAAAAACGACCTTTCCGAACCTCCCATACCTTTGCTCCCTAACTCTCTGGTCAGGCTTCCACAATCGTCACTCTTTTTTGGGTGGAAAGGGCTGGAGGAAGAAACGGCAGCTGCGATTGAATCAGTTGTGGGCTCTCTGGCAGGAGCAATGGCAGGAAGAGTAGGTGAAGCAGCAGTAGTGGCAAGGGTCATACCGCAGGGATCAACTCGAGCAAGAGCAGCAGGAGTTGGAGACGGAGCAGTGTCAGCAGCAGCCACATCAGTAGTAGTCGCAGAAACCGCAGCAGCAGCTGTGGGATTGAAGGTGTCCTGGTCCAGCTGCCTGGCAGCCATGGCTACCATCTCCTTCAGTCGCTCATCCGCATCTGCCACCTCATCCACCTCCCCCGCCAGCTCAGCATGACCCCTAGCCAGCTCATCAACCACATCCGTACCCCCCACATCATCACCGTCGTCCATCTCCATCCACCTTCCTGCACCATCTCCCTGCAGCACCTGCTCATAACACTCGTCTCCATACTCGCCAGCCCCCTGCTGCACCCCCAACTGGACCCTTTCCCTGCTCCGTTTCTGCCTCTGCTGCGACAGCAGCACCCGCTGGCTCTGCTGCTCCAGAGCCGCCAGAAGATGCTTCACCTCCTCCGCACTCCAGCACGCCGCACCACCCACAGCAGCAGCACCGCTGGCAGGCGCCGCACTGCCGAACGCCCCACCTGCAGTGCTGTTCCTGCCTGCGGATTGCCGTGCTGCATTGCCAACAGCATCAGCAGCATCGCCATCCATAGATTCAGCGGGTTTCGATGCGTCAGCAGGTTCAAACACAGACGCAGCTCCTGGGACGAAATTTGACCCACCACGAGACCATGTGCTGTCAGATCCCACCAATGAACCTCCCACACCCAATCCCAGACCCATCCCTCCTTCCCATACCTCCCCTCTCTCCTCCTCCACCTCTCCATCGCCCTCGTCCATCTCACCCACCCAGCTCCCCACCACCTCGTCATCACACCCCACACCTTCAGCATCGTCAAACGTCCATGCATTCCCCTCGATAGTATCACCCTCCTCTGCATCACACTGTTCGCTTGGCGAATTCCCCACTGTGGCGTGCTCATTACCCCAACGGAGTCCACCCTCCCATGCACCTCTTTCCACGGGCAGGGGATTTGACCAGATACTTTCGCCCTCCAATCCAATCGGTACGCAAGCAGTCTTTGCCTCCTCGCTTTGCCCCTTGTTGAAGTCGCCCTTGCCCTGTGAATCTGTGCCGACGGTCACTCCGCTGCTTGTGTCTGTTACTTTGGAAGCTTTCTGGATCCCATTCACAAAGTACCAGTCTTGGTCTTCGGAAGATTGCAGCTCGGGATTTGTTTCGGTCGACAAGCTAATCCATTCCTTCCACTCCTCCTTCTCCCCCTCTCGTCTGACACTCCCTTGCACTTCACCTCTCTCTATTTTCTGGTCAGGCATTGATCCTACGAGAATCGGTTCCGAGCCTGAAAGGAGGAAGCCTCGGCGGAATCCGGACGTGCCGAGCTGCTCTGGAACGGCTCGCGGCGCAGACCGTGCGAGGGGCCCACTGATCGCCTGAGAAGATTCGATGTCTCCCAGAATGCCTGGAAGGGACTCCGTGCGCTGGTCCTGAGAACGAGACTCTGGGCTGTGCGCCTGGTCATGGCTTCGGACCGACTCCCGGTCGCATTCTCGGGTAAATCTGGGGAAAAGCTCGGAAGCACGCGCGACAGGCACTGGCTCTAGTGGGGGAAGCCAAGGCAAGCCGTCGATCTCTTCGATCTTGAACTCGTCGGGCGATGATTCAGCGGTGTCGAGCACGGAAATTGACAGCTCCGCCTCGCTCAACGGACCTAAGCTGCTGATCGCTTCGAAAACGGAAGCTTCGTCGTCGGTCATGGCAGCAGAAGAACCGAAAGAAACGGAGAGGAACCGAGAATAACCGAGAAAAAATCTCCCAGGCCAGACCGCACCTTGACTTCTGTGCTACTTCCAAACTTCTTCTATCCTAGAGACAATCCAGGAGGCGAGTGTTTATTCTAGCCAAGCTACATACTTATTACGCGTGTGCTGCTGCTGCCTTTTCGCGCATATATTCCAAGGATGCGTCAGCGTCAAGAACAGCTCGGGGAAAGGCGGAAGCGAAAAGGGAGGCTTCGGAGGGGGCGGATGGGGGGGAGGGGAAGGGAAAGGGTGTGAATACCTGGTGTGTTACCAGCAAACTTTCGCCAATGTGACGAGAATGTTCTCAGAACAGGTAACCATTTCGGTCTTGAGGTTCGCAGCCACTGTCACAGCTGCTCGTCCATTCGCCTGCACCTTTGTGTCCACCTCCCAGCCAATGCCATTTCTTGGTGCAGCGAATCTTTTCCCCCCTCATCACCAGCCACAAACATTCCCATCCCACTCATTACTTCTCACCACGCAATTCTGCGGGACAACATCAGCTGCAATCCAATTAGGCCAGCGCGGTTCGCAAATGCGATCCCTAACAGTCCCCCTGGAAGAAGCTGATGGTCGTAATCTGCCCGCGGTCAGAAAAAAATAAACCCCATCTGGATGGCATGCGATTAGGGGAGCCCCAACCCTAAACACGGGGAGCCCCAACCCTAAACACGGGTAGCCGCATGGTTCTGCCCGAAAAGATTGCATATGCAAACCCGCACTGGGAAAATGAGATCGCAGTTCGAATTGTCCGCAATTCTGCTCTTTGCATCTGGCTTCTTTTTTCTCACGCTGTTTCCGCCGCACGGGCCTTTTGTCAAGCCGTTTAATTCGCCTTGGCGCATTTTACGCTGCTATACTCTTGGGTGCTGGTTTTGATCTGAGGCTGAACAAGCTTTTTCGTGGCTAGTTTCGGTCGGGCTTCTTACCGTCTAACCCTAGTCAGGATAGTCCCGACATGGATTTTTTCGCGGGAAAGGCTGTTGAGAAGCAAGTTAACGGCGTTGGAGAAGCAGTCAATGTGAGTGTGGCGGGTAATGTTATCTTCGAAGAACCACATATTCATAGACTTTGCATTTCCTTATGTCCAGCCGGTTGGCCTGTTCCCCTCGCTCATTCTGTACGCAAAAAATCCGCATTGCCTTCATGATACCCGTGCTCTCTGTGTTTCCAATCTCGTTGTGTCAGTCGATGGTGAATGATGCAACAGAAGCTGTCAGCAACTGGTGGGAAGGCCTTATGGGTACGAGTTGCAGTGAAATTACTTGGTGAAAAGTGTTCTCGTCCTTTCTAGTCGTCCAAGTCCATGTGCCCGCAATCATGGATGCCATGTTTGTGTCCTTCTCTGATTGTCTTCTGCATCCACCTTCGTTTACTATCAAGTCCTGTTTTTCCCCATGCCATACACGTATCCCTCTGCTATTCGTGCGATTGCAGGAAAAGTGCAGAAGCCCCTGCCAGAGATCCTGGAGCAGTACGAGTTTCCTGTGGGGATTTTCCCAAAGAACCATGTCAAGTACGTCCTGAAACTTACAGACTCCAGCAAACCCGAAGCAGGGGGCGTCCTGGAGGTGTATTTTACAGGAGGAATGGAAATCAAGCTCAGTGACGGGACGGTTCTGAAGTATGCGAAGAAAGTCGTGGTCCGGATTACTCCCAAGGAAATGGCAGGTGTTGTGGGTTTGAAGTTGAAGGGCATCACAGGGTACACTGAGATCAGTGCAGTCTCCATCGATACTGTCAAGGAGAACGTTCATTTGCAAACAAGGGTGCGCAAGACGAAGCCGCTGCACCTCTTTAAGAGCGCAAGGCAGGGCGTTGAGGTCCTTGATGTTAGCTGAAGTGCAGGGGTCAATGGTGGCATTAGGTCATGAATGTGTTATGCTCATGCAATTGCGCTGATTTCATCGTATGTACCGAAGGTGGTTCAAGAGCTTCACTAGTTGAATCCACTCCATACCGTATCCATCTCTGGTTGTGTCAAGAATTTACAAGGAAACAGCTCACAGCTGAATAACGTAATGGTACACAACTACATCTCTCACCTAGCTATTTCAGATGTGTATCAGGCACAATGACTCATTTACAAGCCAAGCTTATCGCAGTGCCTACAGGTTATGACAGCGCTTGCATAATAAACAAGAATCTGGCTTGATGAAGGTCCGCTCCTCACAATCCGCAAAAAAGTGGCCTTCGAGCAGCAGATACCTAGCACTAGGACGTACGACCTGATGGCTAGTCAAAGTTGATCCCAAATATCCGGACTTTGTCAAGAGCTGGAAGCTTGGCAATGACAAGTGCAAACACGAGAACTGTGTTGATGACGAAGAAAAGCTCAGAGTTAGGATCATGCCGCATGTAAAAGGATGTCACCAGGTATCTGAAAAGGGTAAAGAACATGACGGATTGAGAACACATGGAGATTAACGCACAAATGAGAGCTTGCAAGTAAGCAGCAGCAGCGGGTCATAATTTGAAGTCTCCATGACACTTACAATAGAACAGGAACCATGGTCAAAAACTTGCGGTTGGGTGTGAGCTGCCTACGGCCATCAATCTGCTCCCACCAGGTAAGCTTATCGTATAATCCCTGGTCTTCAGCGAAGGGCGAACCTTTTTTCCAGTGGAAAAGGTAGAATGTCACCTGCGTAGGAGTAGGCACATACAACTTTCCGGTAATAGTACGCAAAAGTACAGCCTTTGAGCAGCAAGAAATTCGATGAAACTATACATGAAAACCTAGCTCTCTCGTGTTCTTTTGCCTACAACGAATATTAAAGCCACTTACCACGAAATGGATAATATTGACAGCAGCGCAAGCGGAAGCGACACTGCACTGGAAGATTATGAGGATTAAGAGCCACACCAGCACGACAATGATTAGATATGTCGTCCAGACTCCAGGATACGAAAACCACGAGGTGTTCTTATTGACGTCAATAGGTGGAGCAGTCGGGACTAGGAACGGTGAATGGTATTGAGAAGCCGGGCTTCTCATTGGGCTTGAGGCCTGCGTCCTTGGCTTAATGAGACTCTTGCGAGTAGGACTGTCACACGCATCGGCACTCGCGTCAATTTCATCTGGGACAGATTCTACTCTCCACAAAGGCATCGCGCCTCGATGCCTAACAACGGACGAGTACGCGAATCGCTAATTTCAACCGTCTCCAAGGCGAATCCGGAATCCAGTATGAAGCCTGATAGCGTGGATGAAGGTTGCGTGCACTGCACACCGCCAAGGTCAGCCAAAGCCAAGGAAACTCGATGAAGGGGAGAAGAGACTTCACCCTAGTGAATAGCTAGGTCGGGCGGTGAGAGGGGTGGTTTGGGGATGGGAGGCTTGGGAAAAGCGCGGTACACTTCACTTCATAAGCTATTCAACTAAAGGGAAAAAGCATGTGTGGTGCATACAAACTGGCCCATAATGATTATTGTATCACCTTTTTGCATCTGCTAACATTGGAGCCTTTTTAAATAGTGGTAGCTGACCATTCATACGTAATATCTAAAATAACATTAAGTTATTAAGTGCTACCTGTAAACTTTCATTTTGTAATTAAACTTTGTACTACATCTCTTCCCATCTAATTTTGATGCAAGTATCTTTATACCACTGACTGTTCTATCATAATGTGAAGTGATGGATGGTCTTCAAGAGGTTTATACTTTTGTTGATCCCCAGTCTACATAACATTACGCTGTGTCAGCACCATACTACCGAGGCTGTCAGCCTTCAACGCTGCAGGCGCTTCGAGAGCTTCGCGGTGCGATTTCCACCCTGCCCGCCTCGCTGACAAAATTTTGGTCAACAAAATCATCCACCAAATCAGAGAGAACTGGACGGGCAGGAAAGCAAGCAAGCAAAGCAAGAAACACCATCATCGCCGCTGCCCCACACATTTGAGTGCAGCAGCATCCTCCTTCGCACATTTTCGGGCAGCAACTGACAGATTCGAGGTGTATCTGGGGCGCTTTGAATGTCATCATCTCTGCTTACGATGCCTTGAGACTCCACCTCGCCTCCATTGCCTGTCCCCTTGTCGGTGTGCCACCGTGTATTCAAGCAGCACAGCCAGATGTATTGTACCTGCGGAACCAGAGATGGTCTAGCCGTTCTCAGTGAGTCTGGTCCTTACCTAGTGAGGATGTACTTTTGACTTGTTATGTTCAGGACCATGCGGCCGCTAAAAGAATTCAGGCTCGATCGTTCGCTTTGCATGCCATTGATCGAGAACTGTGCTTAGTACTCGCAGGATTGCCAATAAAGTAGCCTGTACTACTCACTCGTCGGAACTTCCACTCGGTAAACACAAAGCGAGACCACGAAGCTATTTGTTGCGGGCCCTCAGAAGTACTCAGCATGATGAAGCATGGCAGCCATCAGCGGCTTCTTAGGCCAACTCCATTGTCCCGCACGGCCGGGAAGCAAAAAAGCTCATTTCTTTCCGAGTTAGCTGATTTAGCATTCCGATGCAGCCCGTTCATTCTTCTAGTCATCTTGGTTGTCTTGGTCGTTATGAGATCCCAGCACTACTCGGCTCAACAGGTCCAACCATTGGTGGAAATTATCAGGACTAACGAGGCTGCGCACAGCGGAGACGCCGGAGATGGCGTGGATGGCGGTAGCTTGCTTGTGAGCAATCAAGCTGACGCCATTGTTCTTGCAGAGGTGAACGCCGTGCGGTAACAGCCTGTATAACAGAGTGCCATAACAGAAAACTTTCACAATCAATGTTGGAATCCCCTTGTGTTTTCCCAAGAGCGCATACTAAGCAATGCGCACTGCGGGTGGAGAAATTTGTGTCAGCAATTCTGTTCATGTTTCTCCAATTTTGATGTTCCTGCGGTGTATCAACATCTTTTCCCATTCACATCGCAGGGCGACCTCCCGAGACGTCTGTATTCAGTGTGCGCGGCTTACGCCTTCGCCTCGCTCACGCGAAAACCGACCGTTGCGCTGTGGCCCTCGGACGCACACATGCCGCATGTGCGCTTCCACCATCTCTTCTCGACTCGTCATAGCGAAGAGTACAGTACCGCGGACAGCGCAGACGGCGCAAAGAGAACGGAAGAGAAGAGCAGGAACGGGTGGCGGTACCTGCGCGTGAAGGATTCGGCCATCGCGAGCGACGATTTGAAAAAAGGGCTCAATTCCAACCGTCGCACGGTAACCATTCTGACCGTCGCGCGCCTGTCGCGAATACTGGAGACTCGTATCTATCGCACAGTAGATGCGTCACACGTGAATTTCACGCGTCAACACTCTTCCCCTTGTTTTTGTTAATCTCCTCATTTTCTACTACGGGAACGTGCTACATTCGAAAGCCACTGTACAGCACTCAGCCCGTGTTGTTCCGTTACACCCCTCCTTCTTTCTTCAAATTTCAGGTGTTCCTTTCTCCATGCGAGTCCGCAGAACAGCGTCAGCAGCAGCAGCAGCCACAGGGCAACGAGGAGACAGCAACCGGAGGAGAGGAGGTGAAGGGAGCGCAGGGCGGAAGCGAGCAAGGGGAAGCGGCTCCGTTTGCGCTCTATATGCCACCAGGTGGCGCTGCGGCAAAGGTAGCAGACGAGGGACGCTCAGAAGCAGCAGCAGTGGGAGACACGGCAGTGGATGCGACAGCGGCAGGGGAGGCGATAGCGGAGATTTCAGTGGCGCGGTGCGAGTACGAGCGAGAGGTGGATCGCTGCTTCGCGTCGCTACAGCCGTCCGCTGACGTGGCTCGACTGGTGGCGAAGGAGGAGTTGGAGGCGGTGGAAGCAACCGTAGCAGTTCACCTGGACGTGAGTGCGGGCGCGGGGGACGAGGGGAGTGAAGGGGGGGGAGAAGGGCGGGGAGGGAAACAGGAGCTTTTGTACGTGAGACGTGGGTGGGAGAAGGAGGAAGGGAGGGAAGAAAGGGTGTACACGAGGAAAGAGAATTCGAATGATGAAGAACGCGGCTCTTTAGCTCTGAACGTGCTCACATATGCTCTGCATTTTCCGGAGCTCACATATGCTCTGCATTTTCCGGAGCTCACATATGCTCTGCATTTTCCGGAGCTCACATATGCTCTGCATTTTCCGGAGCTCACATATGCTCTGCATTTTCCGGAGCTCACATATGCTCTGCATTTTCCGGAGCTCACATATGCTATGCATTTTCTGGAGCTCACATATGCTCTGCATTTTCTCCCCTCCCCGCTCGTCAGGACCTTGCTCCCCACGGCTGTTCAGGCTGCCGCGCCGCCACATCAGACTCCTCCGCCGCCCTCTGCGCCATGCGCCGCATCGCCATGGAGTCTCTAAAAGACCCCTCGCTGCGCTTCACCCTCGGCTCCCCCTCCCCCGCGCGCGCCGCCAGTGTGACTACGTACTTCGACCCCCTGCGCGCGCCCCTGCTGCTCCGCGCGGGAAAGGAGCGGTGGAAAAAGTGCGCGTTTGAGCGGATAAGGGAAGCAGACTGGGAAGGGCAGGGGGAAGCGGAAGGCGGAAGCGGAAGAGGGAGGCGGCTGTATGAGGAAGGCAGCGGCGGCGCAGGAGAAGAGCGGAGGGTTGCGAGAGTGGGGCGGGATCCGATTCTGCTGTGCCATCAGTTACGGGTGTCGGAGCTCTTCACTCTCAGCCGCGCCCAGGGCTTCCTCCCCATCAACTCGTCCTCGATAGAAGCGCGCTTCGTTACAGCGCAGGGGAGGGCTCGGTCGGCAGAGTTTGAGGTGGCGCCGTCGGTGTGCGAGTCGGACGAGGTGCTCCCCATTCCACAGCAGAAGTGGGCCAAGTTCACCTTCGTCGAAGGTACGTCAAGTCAGGCTTACAATTCACCCTCAGGCAAACCTTCTAGCATTGCCCTTCCCTCTCCACGTTTTTCTAGACTCTCCCTGCCCTTCCCATGCCCGATCCTCTCTCCCCTAAGACGCCCTCTATCGTACTGCCCCCCATGCAAGCAGAGCGTCTGGGAATGGCCTACTGCGGTATTCCCGAGGTGGCCTCCACCACGTGGCTGCAGTGGATTCGCGCTCAGAGCGGCCTGCCTTACGCGGACAAGGAGCCGCTTATAAGGGAGACGGGGCTGCACCGGCTGTCAGCCAACTTCACAGAGAAAGAGGCGGTGCGTGTGGGAGGTCATGAAGGATGATGGGTTGTGAAATGGGTAAGTCTATAAGGGAGCCGGGGCTGTACCGGTAGTTCACTGATTCCACAGAATGAGAGGCGGGGAGTGTTGCAGGAAGGAAGGTCTTGGCCCATAGAAGTATACCTGATATGGAGAGATGGCAGTGCGAGGGACAAGATGACACATACCATGGAAAAGTATGGCTTGGATCTAATTACACCCTTGATATCTTCTGAGTTCCCCCTCCTACATGCTCACCTTCTCCCACGCTCAATCCCTCCCATGCTCACTGCCTCCCATACTCACTGCCTTGCATACTCACCTCCGTTCTCTCCTCCCTCTGCTACTTCCCCACATCCCCCCCCCTCTCCTCTCCCTTCCACTGCCGTCCTCTTGCAACCAGGTGCGGCTGCTCTTGCGCCCGGGCATGTTCCGATTCACGTTTGTGCGCAACCCCTTCACGCGCGCCCTCTCCGCCTACCTCTCCAAGCTCGCCTACACCTCCTCCATCACCGCCTCGCGCCGCGGCTCCACACAGTCGCCCAGGCAGCTATGGGCCAAGGTGCGTCATCGTCCTGTCCCTCCTGCACTTTCTCTCCAACCCCCTCTCCCGCGTACCTCTGCCCCTCTCCTCGCACTCACCCAGGCAGCTCTGGGCCAAGGTGCGTGCTCTTCCATTTTCTCTTAGTGACGAGCCTTGCACGTGCTCTCCCTGCTTGCTTCGTGACGAACGAGCTACTATCCACCCCTCCCTCCCATCCCATCCCACCCCACCCCGTACCAGCCTTTCTTTCTCCAGGTGTGGCAGCAGTACGAGGCAGCGAGGGTGCCAGAACCTCGTTCCACGCCATCGATCCTTGCTTCCTGAAAAGCAAATCCATACGTCCTGACCTTTCCGCATTCCCCTCACCCTCCACCAAGCGTATTTCCGCCACGTATGGCACCAGCGCGAGACAGTGAGAGCGCCTGA